TCTCGGAGTCTGCAGTGGGAACAGTGTTTCTCGGAGTCTGCAGTGGGAACAGTGTTTCTCGGAGTCTGCAGTGGGAACAGTGTTTCTCGGAGTCTGCAGTGGGAACAGTGTTTCTCACAGTCTGCAGTGGGAACAGTGTTTCTCACAGTCTGCAGTGGGAACAGTGTTTCTCACAGTCTGCAGTGGGAACAGTGTTTCTCACAGTCTGCAGTGGGAACAGTGTTTCTCTCAGTCTGCAGTGGGAACAGTGTTTCTCACAGTCTGCAGTGGGAACAGTGTTTCTCGGAGTCTGCAGTGGGAACAGTGTTTCTCGGAGTCTGCAGTGGGAACAGTGTTTCTCGGAGTCTGCAGTGGGAACAGTGTTTCTCAGAGTCTGCAGTGGGAACAGTGTTTCTCACAGTCTGCAGTGGGAACAGTGTTTCTCACAGTCTGCAGTGGGAACAGTGTTTCTCACAGTCTGCAGTGGGAACAGTGTTTCTCACAGTCTGCAGTGGGAACAGTGTTTCTCAGAGTCTGCAGTGGGAACAGTGTTTCTCTCAGTCTGCAGTGGGAACAGTGTTTCTCAGAGTCTGCAGTGGGAACAGTGTTTCTCGGAGTCTGCAGTGGGAACAGTGTTTCTCGGAGTCTGCAGTGGGAACAGTGTTTCTCAGAGTCTGCAGTGGGAACAGTGTTTCTCAGAGTCTGCAGTGGGAACAGTGTTTCTCAGAGTCTGCAGTGGGAACAGTGTTTCTCAGAGTCTGCAGTGGGAACAGTGTTTCTCAGAGTCTGCAGTGGGAACAGTGTTTCTCAGAGTCTGCAGTGGGAACAGTGTTTCTCACAGTCTGCAGTGGGAACAGTGTTTCTCAGAGTCTGCAGTGGGAACAGTGTTTCTCACAGTCTGCAGTGGGAACAGTGTTTCTCAGAGTCTGCAGTGGGAACAGTGTTTCTCGGAGTCTGCAGTGGGAACAGTGTTTCTCGGAGTCTGCAGTGGGAACAGTGTTTCTCGGAGTCTGCAGTGGGAACAGTGTTTCTCACAGTCTGCAGTGGGAACAGTGTTTCTCACAGTCTGCAGTGGGAACAGTGTTTCTCACAGTCTGCAGTGGGAACAGTGTTTCTCACAGTCTGCAGTGGGAACAGTGTTTCTCGGAGTCTGCAGTGGGAACAGTGTTTCTCGGAGTCTGCAGTGGGAACAGTGTTTCTCGGAGTCTGCAGTGGGAACAGTGTTTCTCACAGTCTGCAGTGGGAACAGTGTTTCTCACAGTCTGCAGTGGGAACAGTGTTTCTCACAGTCTGCAGTGGGAACAGTGTTTCTCTCAGTCTGCAGTGGGAACAGTGTTTCTCAGAGTCTGCAGTGGGAACAGTGTTTCTCGGAGTCTGCAGTGGGAACAGTGTTTCTCTCAGTCTGCAGTGGGAACAGTGTTTCTCAGAGTCTGCAGTGGGAACAGTGTTTCTCAGAGTCTGCAGTGGGAACAGTGTTTCTCAGAGTCTGCAGTGGGAACAGTGTTTCTCTCAGTCTGCAGTGGGAACAGTGTTTCTCAGAGTCTGCAGTGGGAACAGTGTTTCTCGGAGTCTGCAGTGGGAACAGTGTTTCTCTCAGTCTGCAGTGGGAACAGTGTTTCTCTCAGTCTGCAGTGGGAACAGTGTTTCTCTCAGTCTGCAGTGGGAACAGTGTTTCTCACAGTCTGCAGTGGGAACAGTGTTTCTCACAGTCTGCAGTGGGAACAGTGTTTCTCTCAGTCTGCAGTGGGAACAGTGTTTCTCTCAGTCTGCAGTGGGAACAGTGTTTCTCGGAGTCTGCAGTGGGAACAGTGTTTCTCGGAGTCTGCAGTGGGAACAGTGTTTCTCGGAGTCTGCAGTGGGAACAGTGTTTCTCACAGTCTGCAGTGGGAACAGTGTTTCTCTCAGTCTGCAGTGGGAACAGTGTTTCTCAGAGTCTGCAGTGGGAACAGTGTTTCTCAGAGTCTGCAGTGGGAACAGTGTTTCTCAGAGTCTGCAGTGGGAACAGTGTTTCTCAGAGTCTGCAGTGGGAACAGTGTTTCTCAGAGTCTGCAGTGGGAACAGTGTTTCTCAGAGTCTGCAGTGGGAACAGTGTTTTCTCAGAGTCTGCAGTGGGAACAGTGTTTCTCAGAGTCTGCAGTGGGAACAGTGTTTCTCAGAGTCTGCAGTGGGAACAGTGTTTCTCAGAGTCTGCAGTGGGAACAGTGTTTCTCAGAGTCTGCAGTGGGAACAGTGTTTCTCAGAGTCTGCAGTGGGAACAGTGTTTCTCAGAGTCTGCAGTGGGAACAGTGTTTCTCTCAGTCTGCAGTGGGAACAGTGTTTCTCTCAGTCTGCAGTGGGAACAGTGTTTCTCTCAGTCTGCAGTGGGAACAGTGTTTCTCACAGTCTGCAGTGGGAACAGTGTTTCTCACAGTCTGCAGTGGGAACAGTGTTTCTCACAGTCTGCAGTGGGAACAGTGTTTCTCACAGTCTGCAGTGGGAACAGTGTTTCTCACAGTCTGCAGTGGGAACAGTGTTTCTCACAGTCTGCAGTGGGAACAGTGTTTCTCACAGTCTGCAGTGGGAACAGTGTTTCTCACAGTCTGCAGTGGGAACAGTGTTTCTCACAGTCTGCAGTGGGAACAGTGTTTCTCACAGTCTGCAGTGGGAACAGTGTTTCTCACAGTCTGCAGTGGGAACAGTGTTTCTCACAGTCTGCAGTGGGAACAGTGTTTCTCACAGTCTGCAGTGGGAACAGTGTTTCTCAGAGTCTGCAGTGGGAACAGTGTTTCTCAGTCAGTGCTGTCATTGGGAGGTTCAGAGACAGGTTAGATTTGCGGAGAACAAGCCTGGGCATCGTGGCGCGACCTCCAGCCTCAGCTAAAGTCTCTGCTAAAAGTGCTTCCCACAGATGTAGTTTCACGGGGACAGTAACGTGTTGGAGAAGCCTTGTGTTAGACGAGAGAGTGGGGGAGATAGCAGCAACAGGAGTCGCGGTGACGTGCTTCACCTGGAGGCGCGTCACCGCGATGTCATAATATGCAAATTAGATGGGTGGATTCATTCTCTACACACACTTTGGGCCATCCTTAATATTTTTCTAATTTACAGAAAGCCTTTATCTCTTCTCACTTTTAAGCTATAGCTAGGGCTGGGAGATATGGCTGAAAACTATCACAATAAGTCATTTATATCGGTCGATAACGATATATATTGAGTTTTTTTTTTTAACCTAAATAAATATATTTGTGGTGTGGGCTAACCAACCTTAGCAGCCTTGTTTACAGTCACGGGGCGATGAGGCTGGAGGAATATGTTCACACTGTGTCCCTCGTTGTTAGTCCTGGTTTAATCCTGGTTTTTTATTCCTGGTTTAGCTCCTGGTTTAGCTGTTTGAGGGTCTTGTGTCCCCGTGACCGCTCCGTGCGGCTCTCCGTGCCGCACATGCTTCCCGAGGAAAAAGTTAATCTCTTGCTTTCGCCGAATACATGGTGTCTGTCCACTGCCTCTGCCGCCGCACATGTTATTCCGCGCACGTACGTGCACAACCATTGACACGGCATTGAAACACGAGCTATAGATCCATGGACGCTACGCATGCTGCGGTTGTTGTTGTTTTTGCATTTCCCACAAGGTTTTGCGGTTCCTGCTCGGCTGTTATTGGTCGAGAAGCCTCTGCCTACATCCCCCACAATGCCATGCGCTTATGAGTCGGCTTTACTTCCGGTGTTTTCTTCCTGTTTTTCCTGACGGAGTTAAGTTAAACTATCGAACATTCTATCGACCCCATTCTCTATTGATATCGAACACATGTCTATCGCGATATATATCGTTATCGTTTTATTGCCCAGCCCTAGTTATAGCCTTTTGAAATGAAAATCTCAAAATTTAGCGTTTTAGAAAAAAAACCTGATACTTTAAGTTTAGAATAAGTTATTTTAGAATAATAAAATGGGGTTGGGAGTACATTTGTATATTCACAACTTTTTTGCCGTGGCTCGAAAGGTAGTGTTCATTAATCTACTATAAACAGATTTAAACTTCAGACACAAGGTCCAGACGAAGAAGACATCAGAAAAAATGAAAGTAAAGAAACATATTTACGGCAGACAACTGGACCAGCGACTGGACCAGCGACTGGACCAGCGACTGGACCAGCGACCGGAGAGATAAAGTTATACAGATAAAGATAAAGTTATATTGATATTTACTTGCTTCTCTAAGTAAACATGTGAAGCTAAAGCCCCATTAGCACAGGATCAGTAAGACTTGTGGACCTCTGGTAATTAGTGATTATCTTGGAGTAGTAATTATTATAGTTTATTTGGTTGTAGTAATATTTATTTACATGGCACAGTACATAAGTGAGGTGCTCATTTGCATCTGTTGTCTCTCAGTCACAACCAAACACTCATTCACCCTGAATTATTGCACATGTTTTTAGTGGTAGGGGAAACCGGAGTACCCGGAGGAAACTTACACAGACACGGGGAGAACATGCAAACTCCACTCAGATAGGCCCTGTTCCATTTGAGATTCGAACCCAGAACCTTCTTCCTGTTCTTAAGTCTGTTCTGTGTTCGGACAGAGTGCAGAGTAAACGTACAAACACAACCATCAGTCTCATTACCTCAGAGACAGCAGCAGGACTCTGCAGCTGTGTACACAGCATCAGGACTCTGCAGCTGTGTACACAGCATCAGGACTCTGCAGCTGTGTACACAGCACCAGGATTCTGCAGCTGTGTACACAGCACCAGGATTCTGCAGCTGTGTACACAGCCGCAATACGCGACTCCTCTGCTCATTGACAAAAACACCACAGAGTAAAGAGAAACCCCTGACACGCAGATCCACAGGATCAGGATTATCAGTCTGTGTTTGGACAAATACAGGTCATTTTCAGCAGAATTATTACTTTATAAAATACAGACTCGGAACATTCTGGACTAAGATCTCAGACGTGATTATCACAAACTCCCAGAGGTCAGAGGTCACACTGATCCCGTCTGAATAGGGCTGAAGAATCATAGTGGCTACTTTTATTCAGGTGTACTCTGTACTGTCCTGTAAAGTTACTGAGGCTTCTGGGAACACAAGATGAACATCTGTAATTCCTTTAAACGACGATCGCTGTTTGTTTGTTCTTCGTTGCCGTTTCATTGAAGATTGAGTTATTTTTCTAAGAGTTTTTGGCTTTAAATGAGTTTCACTTCAACCAAAACCATTTCAGTGAATTAAAGTCAATGCTTTTACTGTTGAAATGTATTCTTTAACTGACAGTTTGAATGACTGACTTAAACTACTGCTGTCCGTGCGCTGCAACACTGACATTTCTCCGCTGTTGGGCTAATAAAGGTTCTCATCTCGGCTTTAGTCTAAAAAGTCCATTTGGATGATTTCTCACGTTTAAAGTCTTCTCTCTGCTCCACGTGAACGTCCTTGTCTCGGGCAGATGGCAGCAGTGGGGCCTCCTCCAGGTGTGTCCAGGACCTGGTGAGCTCCTGCTGCTCCTCCTGCTGATCTGCTCCTCCTGCTGAACTGCTCCTCCTGCTGATCTGCTCCTCCTGCTGATCTGCTCCTCCTGCTGAACTGCTCCTCCTGCTGAACTGCTCCTCCTGCTGATCTGCTCCTCCTGCTGATCTGCTCCTCCTGCTGATCTGCTCCTCCTGCTGATGATCTGCTCCTCCTGCTGATCTGCTCCTCCTGCTGATCTGCTCCTCCTGCTGATCTGCTCCTCCTGCTGAACTGCTCCTCCTGCTGATCTGCTCCTCCTGCTGATCTGCTCCTCCTGCTGATCTGCTCCTCCTGCTGATCTGCTCCTCCTGCTGATCTGCTCCTCCTGCTGATCTGCTCCTCCTGCTGATCTGCTCCTCCTGCTGAACTGCTCCTCCTGCTGATCTGCTCCTCCTGCTGATCTGCTCCTCCTGCTGATCTGCTCCTCCTGCTGATCTGCTCCTCCTGCTGAACTGCTCCTCCTGCTGATCTGCTCCTCCTGCTGAACTGCTCCTCCTGCTGAACTGCTCCTCCTGCTGATCTGCTCCTCCTGCTGATCTGCTCCTCCTGCTGATCTGCTCCTCCTGCTGATCTGCCGGAGGTCGGACATGTTGGAGGACGACTCTCAGCCTGGAGGACTTTGGTTTCCACATGTGCAGACGGTCCCTATTGAAAGGCCTGGGCAGAGACAGACCTCTCTAGTCCCGTCTGTAGTGGTCTGACGTGTTTGGAAGCACAGGTGCTGATGTAAATATAAACAGAATGCTTTTGAAGGCGGAACACGCTGCTGCTGCCTCAGCTTTTCTAAACTGCTCTGACCGAGAACCACGTGTTTTAAGGAGAGAGAACAAACGAGAATCTACGGTCTGCTCTGAGGATTTAGTCCGGTTCGAGGTCTGGGTTCTGCCGCGGTCTCGAGGTTCGATCTCGCTCTGATTCAGATTATCTCAAAGTGCCAGGTCCCCTTCAAAAGTGCTCACTGTGCCGTTTCTATTCAAAGTGTCACACAAGCACTTGGCACACGGATGTCTGACCTTGGAAATGTATTTACTAAACTTTCACTTTATCTCCATGGATCAGGCACGACCAAACCCAGGCCCGGGGGCGAACTGCGGCCCTCGGTGTCTTTGTGTGTGGACCTCTGCCTTGGCTTTTGTGATCAATTTGCTCCTGTCTTTGTGTTTATGTCTGTGTCACTGCATGGTCTCGGAGGCTGAGGCTGTGTAGACCCAGGGCTGAGGCTGTAGACCCAGGGCTGAGGCTGTAGACCCAGGGCTGAGGCTGTAGACCCAGGACTGAGGCTGTAGACCCAGGGCTGAGGCTGTAGACCCAGGGCTGAGGCTGTAGACCCAGGGCTGAGGCTGTAGACCCAGGGCTGAGGCTGTAGACCCAGGGCTGAGGCTGTAGACCCAGGACTGAGGCTGTGTAGACCCAGGACTGAGGCTGTAGACCCAGGGCTGAGGCTGTAGACCCAGGGCTGAGGCTGTAGACCCAGGGCTGAGGCTGTAGACCCAGGGCTGAGGCTGTAGACCCAGGACTGAGGCTGTAGACCCAGGGCTGAGGCTGTAGACCCAGGGCTGAGGCTGTAGACCCAGGACTGAGGCTGTAGACCCAGGGCTGAGGCTGTAGACCCAGGGCTGAGGCTGTAGACCCAGGGCTGAGGCTGTAGACCCAGGGCTGAGGCTGTAGACCCATGTGACCGGTGTCCTCTGTCTCTTTCAGCGATCCATGAGTTCCCAAAGGACTTCTTCAGCAGTGAGGAGAGAAAGTCCGGGGCCGTCCTGCTGCACATCGTGGCGGTGAGTCCTCTCCACATTTTTAATTCTCTTTATTTACAAAACTTCATCAAGTCATTTACACAAAGAGAATTCCCAGGAAGTAGTAGTAGTAGTAGCAGCAGCAGTAGTAGTAGCAGTAGTAGTAGCAGTAGTAGCAGTAGTAGTAGCAGTAGTAGTAGCAGTAGTAGTAGCAGTAGTAGTAGTAGCAGTAGTAGCAGTAGCAGTAGTAGTAGTGGCAGGGCCTTTTACAAGTATTAGTAAAACTGGTGTATTTTAGTCTTTTCACTTTTAACTATTATGATTAATTTGTTTCCTACAAGTATTTGTCGGCAACACCTTTGCACCAGTGTAGTAGTAGCAGGTGAAAGCCAGGTCCTGTCAGGCCTTTGAAGCTAAGCAGGGCAGAGCCTGGTTAGTGCTGTGATGGGAGACCTCTGGGAACAGTAGGTGCCACAGTGGGGCAAACTGTGGGTGAAGTTTCTTGCCCAAAGACGTGACATTAGAATGAGTCTGGTGTGTGTGTGAATGGTTGGTGGAGGTGGCTTGCCTCGCTTCAGTTAGTGTGCCCCAGGGCAGCTGTGGCCAAAAAGAGCTGTACAAAACCGATGCATTATTAATTATATTGATATTTCTTCATCTTACTAAACCTCAAAGTAGAAAGAATCTACTAAAACGTATAAAGAGTGGTTCTGTACAACATGTTCTGAATCCTGCGATGCAACACTGACATTTCCGAGGGTAAAAGTAAGAGTAAAGCATCTGTTAATCCTAAAAGCTGCTTCTGTGGCTTCAACGCTTGTTCTCTGCATTATGTACATCGTGGATTAAAACAGGTTTAAAATGAACAAAAGGCAGTGTAAGGACTGTGTGTGTGTGTGGTGCGACACTGCCCCCTGTCCACAGCACCGGGTACTGCACCCACTTCACTCATCAAAACTGACTTCTTTTTTTTTTTATGCAATGTATTTGAGAACAGCCCTAAATAACAACAGCAGAAGTGTTGATTGGCCAACATTAGATCAGAGAATTAAACAGATCAAACCGAGGAAATGCAAAAATAATAAACACATAGAATCCATGGGTCCGAAGGGGGCGGGACGATCACTGTCCTTAGACCTTCCTGCCCTCTTTTTATATATATATTTATTTTCATATCACCAATAAAATAAATCCTTGTTTGTTTTGGGATTGACTGAAGCAAAAATTAAACTTAAAATCCTCCACAAAAGAATAAAGATTTGTGTTTGTATCTGAGTAGCTCCTCTGAATCACGAGGGTCTGAGGTTATATACTGTACATATAGGACAGGAGTTATATACTGTACATATAGGACAGAGTTATATACTGTACATATAGAGCAGGAGTTATATACTGTACATATACGACAGTTATATACTGTACATATAGACAGGAGTTATATACTGTACATATAGAGCAGGAGTTATATACTGTACATATAGGACAGAGTTATATACTGTACATATAGAGCAGGAGTTATATACTGTACATATACGACAGTTATATACTGTACATATAGAGCAGGAGTTATATACTGTACATATAGAGCAGGAGTTATATACTGTACATATAGAGCAGGAGTTATATACTGTACATATAGAGCAGGAGTTATATACTGTACATATAGAGCAGGAGTTATATACTGTACATATAGAGCAGGAGTTATATACTGTACATATAGACAGGAGTTATATACTGTACATATAGACAGGAGTTATATACTGTACATATAGACAGGAGTTATATACTGCACATATAGGACAGGAGTTATATACTGTACATATAGACAGGAGTTATATACTGTACATATAGACAGGAGTTATATACTGTACATATAGACAGGAGTTATATACTGTACATATAGAGCAGGAGTTATATACTGTACATATAGACAGGAGTTATATACTGTACATATAGACAGGAGTTATATACTGTACATATAGAACAGGAGTTATATACTGTACATATAGGACAGGAGTTATATACTGTACATATAGAGCAGGAGTTATATACTGTACATATAGAGCAGGAGTTATATACTGTACATATAGAGCAGGAGTTATATACTGTACATATAGAGCTGGATAATAAAGTGTTTAAAGTTTGATTCTCTGATCTGTGCTGGTGAATCGACAGCTTTGAGATAACTACTGTTGTGATTTAGGACTGTATAAATATAAATATAAATGTACGTGTTTCCTCCGCAGACCCTGTACATGTTCCTGGCTCTGGCGATCACGTGTGACGAGTATTTTGTGACGTCGCTGGAGAAGATCTGTGAGGTGCGGTTCTGGTTTATTCTTCTGGCTGGCAACCAAGGCATAGCAACCAAGGCATAGCAACCAAGGCATAGCAACCAAGGCATTGCTATGCGTTTTCTGTTTACCAAACCAGAAGTTGGTAAACAAATGCAGATTGAAAAGTAAAATGGTAATGTGGTTCACCTTTTACCATCACTCACTATCTCACTCTGGTTTCTCTCTGGTCCCTCTCTGGTCTCTCTCTGGTCTCTCTCTGGCCTCTCTCTGGTCTCTCTCTCTGGCCCCTCTCTGGTCTCTCTCTGGCCTCTCTCTGGTCTCTCTCTGGCCTCTCTCTGGTCTCTCTCTGGTCTCTCTCTGGTCTCTCTCTGGTCTCTCTCTAGTCTCTCTCTCTGGCCTCTCTCTGGCCTCTCTCTGGCCTCTCTCTGGTCTCTCTCTGGTCTCTCTCTGGCCTCTCTCTGGCCTCTCTCTGGTCTCTCTCTGGTTTCTCTCTCTGGTCTCTCTCTCTGGCCTCTCTGGCCTCTCTCTGGTCTCTCTCTGGTCTCTCTCTGGCCTCTCTCTGGTCTCTCTCTGGCCTCACTCTGGTCTCTCTCTGGTCTCTCTCTGGTCTCTCTCTGGCCTCTCTCTGGCCTCTCTCTGGCCTCTCTCTGGCCTCTCTCTGGCCTCTCTCTGGCCTCTCTCTGGCCTCTCTCTGGCCTCTCTCTGGTCTCTCTCTGGTCTCTCTCTGGTCTCTCTCTGGCCTCTCTCTGGCCTCTCTCTGGCCTCTCTCAGGTTTCTCTCAGGTCTCACTCTGGTCTCTCTCTGGTCTCTCTCTGGTTTCTCTCTGGTCTCACTCTGGTCTCTCTCTGGTCTCACTCTGGTCTCTCTCTGGTCTCTCTCTGGTCTCTCTGGCCTCTCTCTGGCCTCTCTCTGGCCTCTCTCTGGCCTCTCTCTGGCCTCTCTCTGGCCTCTCTCTGGTCTCTCTCTGGTCTCTCTCTGGCCTCTCTCAGGTTTCTCTCAGGTCTCACTCTGGTCTCTCTCTGGTCTCTCTCTGGTTTCTCTCTGGTCTCACTCTGGTCTCTCTCTGGTCTCTCTCTGGCCTCTCTCTGGTCTCTGGTATTTTCAGAATTCAGGGAGTCTGGAAGTCTTAGTGTTAATGAAACAATCTCCTTGTTGATGCCGATGTCCTGTGTGTGTGTGTTGTTTGTTTGTGTGCATCTGCAGAAGCTAGACCTGAGCGAGGACGTTGCCGGGGCGACCTTCATGGCGGCAGGAAGTTCGGCTCCAGAGCTTTTTGCGTCCATCATAGGTACACAAATACACACACACACCTACACATAAACACACACCTGCACATAAACACACACCTGCACACACACACACACACACCTACACATAAACACACATCTGCACACACACACCTACACATAAACACACACCTGCACACACACACACCTACACACCCGCACACTTCTCTGCACTGGCTTCATGTTGCTCAGAGAAAAGACTGGCCTCCTGCTGGGACTCTGAGGAGCACAGGGACAGGTCTCCTGCTGGGACTCTGAGGAGCACAGGGACAGGTCTCCTGCTGGGACTCTGAGGAGCACAGGGACAGGTCTCCTGCTGGGACTCTGAGGAGCACAGGGACAGGTCTCCTGCTGGGACTCTGAGGAGCACAGGGACTGGCCCCCTGCTGGGACTCTGAGGAGCACAGGGACTGGCCTCCTGCTGGGACTCTGAGGAGCACAGGGACTGGCCTCCTGCTGGGACTCTGAGGAGCACAGGGACTGGCCTCCTGCTGGGACTCTGAGGAGCACAGGGACTGGCCTCCTGCTGGGACTCTGAGGAGCACAGGGACTGGCCCCCTGCTGGGACTCTGAGGAGCACAGGGACTGGCCTCGTGCTGGGGACTCTGAGGAGCACAGGGACTGGCCTCCTGCTGGGACTCTGAGGAGCACAGGGACTGGCCTCCTGCTGGGACTCTGAGGAGCACAGGGACTGGCCTCCTGCTGGGACTCTGAGGAGCACAGGGACTGGCCTCCTGCTGAGACTCTGAGGAGCAAAGGGACTGGCCTCCTGCTGGGACTCTGAGGAGCACAGGGACTGGCCTCCTGCTGAGACTCTGAGGAGCAAAGGGACTGGCCTCCTGCTGGGACTCTGAGGAGCACAGGGACTGGCCTCCTGCTGAGACTCTGAGGAGCACAGGGACTGGCCTCCTGCTGGGACCAATCTTCACCACTAGATGGCAGCGGTGGCTCAATCTCGTCATCTCGCTCCAGTTTTAGTGATTTCCAAATGCAAACCCGTCTCAGCCTCGATCCTTGTGAGTTAAGGTTTAGTTTTTCAGATTCTGAGTCTAACTTGTGCGTCCGCAGGGGTCTTCATCACCCACGGCGACGTGGGCGTGGGCACCATCGTGGGCTCGGCCGTCTTCAACATCCTCTGCATCATCGGTGTGTGCGGGATCTTCGCTGGACAGGTGCGTTCAGAGTCTCACAGAGAGAGGAGCGGCTGTAGCTTCAGTCTCACAGAGAGAGGAGCGGCTGTAGCTTCAGTCTCTCAGAGAGGAGCGGCTGTAGCTTCAGTCTCACAGAGAGAGAAGCGGCTGTAGCTTCAGTCTCTCAGAGAGAGGAGCGGCTGTAGCTTCAGTCTCACAGAGAGAGGAGCGGCTGTAGCTTCAGTCTCACAGAGAGAGGAGCGGCTGTAGCTTCAGTCTCACAGAGAGAGGAGCGGCTGTAGCTTCAGTCTCACAGAGAGAGGAGCGGCTGTAGCTTCAGTCTCACAGAGAGAGGAGCGGCTGTAGCTTCAGTCTCTCAGAGAGAGGAGCGGCTGTAGCTTCAGTCTCACAGAGAGAGGAGCGGCTGTAGCTTCAGTCTCACAGGGAGGAGCGGCTGTAGCTTCAGTCTCTGACTCTCACAGCAGTCTATTTGACGGCCTTACGTTTTGGAAGAGTAATTACTTGCGTAGCTTTGTGGTCTGTTCTAACTTTGACTTTTTCTGTTTCTCTGCATAGTTTATTTATTTATGTCATTCTTTCCACGGCACTTAAAGCCCTCAAAGGTTCTGGTTCTGGTTCAGTTATAAAAACATTGATGTAGAAATAAACTACATATAGACACAGAAACTAAAATGTACATAAGCTGAGGAAAGCCGTCAAATCCACTGCTCTGGGATTTCTGTTAAATCCACTCCATCACTTAAAGCAACACGGAAGTTGGTGGATTTGGGTCTTTGTAAACGTTATGTGCGCTGTGATTGGCCGGTGAAAGGCTGCGTTGTGATTGGCTGGTGAAAGGGTGCGTTGTGATTGGCTGGTGAATCGCTGCGTTGTGATTGGCTGGTGAAAGGGTGCGTTGTGATTGGCTGGTGAAAGGGTGCGTTGTGATTGGCTGCTGAATCGCTGCGTTGTGATTGGCAGGTGGTGATGCTGACGTTCTGGGCCGTGTTCCGGGACTCGTTCTACTACATCCTGTCCGTCATCGCTCTGATCGCGGTGAGTCCTGCTCTTCCTCATCATCGGGTCATCAGGTTTAAACAGCAGCTGGAGTCTGTCTGCAGCGGGGTCCAACAAAGACTCAAACACCAAATCAACTTTTTTTTATATAATTATTTTTCTATACATTTAAACACTGCATAAATACGTTTTTTATAGTGCTCAGGTCCTGCTCATTTTTAAACATTTTAGTCTCACTCCCTTCTGTGTGTGTTGTGTGTGGTGTGTGTTTGTGTTGTGTGTGTAAAGTGCTTTGTGACTCTGGCCTGGGTTGTGTGTGTTGTGTGTGGTGTGTGTTTGTGTTGTGTGTGTAAAGTGCTTTGTGACTCTGGTCTGGGTTGTGTGTGGTGTGTGTGTTGTGTGTGTTGTGTGTAAAGTGCTTTGTGACTCTGGTCTGGGTTGTGTGTGTTGTGTGTTGTGTGTGTAAAGTGCTTTGTGACTCTGGCCTGGGTTGTGTGTGTTGTGTGTGGTGTGTGTAAAGTGCTTTGTGACTATGGTCTGGGTTGTGTGTGTTGTGTGTGTAAAGTGCTTTGTGACTCTGGCCTGGGTTGTGTGTGTTGTGTGTGGTGTGTGTTTGTGTTGTGTGTGTGTAAAGTGCTTTGTGACTCTGGTCTGGGTTGTGTGTGTTGTGTGTGGTGTGTGTTGTGTGTGTAAAGTGCTTTGTGACTCTGGCCTGGGTTGTGTGTGTTGTGTGTTGTGTGTGTAAAGTGCTTTGTGACTCTGGTCTGGGTTGTGTGTGTTGTGTGTGGTGTGTGTGGTGTGTGTTTGTGTTGTGTGTGTAAAGTGCTTTGTGACTCTGGTCTGGGTTGTGTGTGGTGTGTGTTTGTGTTGTGTGTGTAAAGTGCTTTGTGACTCTGGCCTGGGTTGTGTGTGTTGTGTGTGGTGTGTGTTTGTGTTGTGTTTGTAAAGTGCTTTGTGACTCTGGTCTGGGTTGTGTGTGGTGTGTGTGTTGTGTGTTGTTTGTGTTGTGTTTGTAAAGTGCTTTGTGACTCTGGTCTGGGTTGTGTGTGTTGTGTGTGGTGTGTGTTTGTGTTTTGTTTGTAAAGTGCTTTGTGACTCTGGTCTGGGTTGTGTGTGGTGTGTGTTTGTGTTGTGTGTGTAAAGTGCTTTGTGACTCTGGCCTGGGTTGTGTGTGTTGTGTGTGTTGTGTGTAAAGTGCTTTGTGACTCTGGTCTGGGTTGTGTGTGTTGTGTGTGGTGTGTTTGTGTTGTGTGTGTAAAGTGCTTTGTGACTCTGGTCTGGGTTGTGTGTGTTGTGTGTGGTGTGTGTTTGTGTTGTAAAGTGCTTTGTGACTCTGGCCTGGGTTGTGTGTGTTGGTGTGTGTTTGTGTTGTGTGTGTAAAGTGATTTGTGACTCTGGCCTGGGTTGTGTGTGTTGTGTGTGGTGTGTGTTTGTGTTGTGTTTGTAAAGTGCTTTGTGACTCTGGTCTGGGTTGTGTGTGTTGTGTGTGGTGTGTGTTTGTGTTGTGTTTGTAAAGTGCTTTGTGACTCTGGTCTGGGTTGTGTGTGTTGTGTGTGGTGTGTGTTTGTGTTGTGTTTGTAAAGTGCTTTGTGACTCTGGTCTGGGTTGTGTGTGTTGTGTGTGGTGTGTGTTTGTGTTGTGTGTGTAAAGTGCTTTGTGACTCTGGCCTGGGTTGTGTGTGTTGTTGTGTTTTGTGTGTTGTGTGTGTAAAGTGCTTTGTGACTCTGGTCTGGGTTGTGTGTGTTGTGTGTTGTGTGTGTAAAGTGCTTTGTGACTCTGGCCTGGGTTGTGTGTGTGGTGTGTGGTGTGTGTTTGTGTTGTGTTTGTAAAGTGCTTTGTGACTCTGGTCTGGGTTGTGTGTGTTGTGTGTGGTGTGTGTTTGTGTTGTGTTTGTAAAGTGCTTTGTGACTCTGGTCTGGGTTGTGTGTGTGGTGTGTGGTGTGTGTTTGTGTTGTGTGTGTAAAGTGCTTTGTGACTCTGGTCTGGGTTGTGTGTGGTGTGTGTTTGTGTTGTGTGTGTAAAGTGCTTTGTGACTCTGGTCTGGGTTGTGTGTGTTGTGTGTGTGTGTGTTTGTGTTGTGTGTGTGTAAAGTGCTTTGTGACTCTGGTCTGGGTTGTGTGTGTTGTGTGTTGTGTGGTGTGTGTGTGTGTGTGTAAAGTGCTTTGTGACTCTGGCCTGGGTTGTGTGTGTTGTGTGTGTAAAGTGCTTTGTGACTATGGTCTGGGTTGTGTGTGTTGTGTGTAAAGTGCTTTGTGACTCTGGCCTGGGTTGTGTGTGTTGTGTGTGTTGTGTGTAAAGTGCTTTGTGACTCTGGTCTGGGTTGTGTGTGTTGTGTGTGGTGTGTTTGTGTTGTGTGTGTAAAGTGCTTTGTGACTCTGGTCTGGGTTGTGTGTGTTGTGTGTGGTGTGTGTTTGTGTTGTAAAGTGCTTTGTGACTCTGGCCTGGGTTGTGTGTGTTGGTGTGTGTTTGTGTTGTGTGTGTAAAGTGATTTGTGACTCTGGCCTGGGTTGTGTGTGTTGTGTGTGGTGTGTGTTTGTGTTGTGTTTGTAAAGTGCTTTGTGACTCTGGTCTGGGTTGTGTGTGTTGTGTGTGGTGTGTGTGTTTGTGTTGTGTTTGTAAAGTGCTTTGTGACTCTGGCCTGGGTTGTGTGTGTTGTTGTGTTTTGTGTGTTGTGTGTGTAAAGTGCTTTGTGACTCTGGTCTGGGTTGTGTGTGTTGTGTGTGGTGTGTGTTTGTGTTGTGTTTTGTAAAGTGCTTTGTGACTCTGGTCTGGGTTGTGTGTGTTGTGTGTGGTGTGTGTTTGTGTTGTGTTTGTAAAGTGCTTTGTGACTCTGGTCTGGGTTGTGTGTGTGGTGTGTGGTGTGTGTTTGTGTTGTGTGTGTAAAGTGCTTTGTGACTCTGGTCTGGGTTGTGTGTGTTGTGTGTGGTGTGTGTTTGTGTTGTGTGTGTAAAGTGCTTTGTGACTCTGGTCTGGGTTGTGTGTGTTGTGTGTGGTGTGTGTTTGTGTTGTGTGTGTAAAGTGCTTTGTGACTCTGGCCTGGGTTGTGTGTGTTGTGTGTTGTGTGTGTAAAGTGCTTTGTGACTCTGGTCTGGGTTGTGTGTGTTGTGTGTGTTGTGTGTAAAGTGCTTTGTGACTCTGGTGTGGGTTGTGTGTTGTGTGTGGTGTGTGTTTGTGTTGTGTGTGTAAAGTGCTTTGTGACTCTGGTCTGGGTTGTGTGTGTTGTGTGTGTTGTGTGTAAAGTGCTTTGTGACTCTGGTCTGGGTTGTGTGTTGTGTGTGGTGTGTGTTTGTGTTGTGTGTGTAAAGTGCTTTGTGACTCTGGCCTGGGTTGTGTGTGGTGTGTGTTTGTGTTGTGTGTGTAAAGTGCTTTGTGACTCTGGTCTGGGTTGTGTGTGTTGTGTGTGGTGTGTGTTTGTGTTGTGTGTGTAAAGTGCTTTGTGACTCTGGCCTGGGTTGTGTGTGTTGTGTGTGGTGTGTGTTTGTGTTGTGTGTTGTGTGTTGTGTGTGTTGTGTGTGTTGTGTGTGTAAAGTGCTTTGTGACTCTGGTCTGGGTTGTGTGTGTTGTGTGTTGTGTGTGTAAAGTGCTTTGTGACTCTGGTCTGGGTTGTGTGTGTTGTGTGTGGTGTGTGTTGTGTGTGTAAAGTGCTTTGTGACTCTGGTCTGGGTTGTGTGTGTGGTGTGTGGTGTGTGTTTGTGTTGTGTGTGTAAAGTGCTTTGTGACTCTGGCCTGGGTTGTGTGTGTTGTGTGTGTAAAGTGCTTTGTGACTATGGTCTGGGTTGTGTGTGTTGTGTGTGGTGTGTGTTTGTGTTGTGTGTGTAAAGTGCTTTGTGACTCTGGTCTGGGTTGTGTGTGTTGTGTGTGTTGTGTGTAAAGTGCTTTGTGACTCTGGTCTGGGTTGTGTGTTGTGTGTGTTTGTGTTGTGTGTGTAAAGTGCTTTGTGACTCTGGCCTGGGTTGTGTGTGTGGTGTGTGGTGTGTGTTTGTGTTGTGTGTGTAAAGTGCTTTGTGACTCTGGTCTGGGTTGTGTGTGTTGTGTGTGGTGTGTGTTTGTGTTGTGTGTGTAAAGTGCTTTGTGACTCTGGCCTGGGTTGTGTGTGTTGTGTGTGGTGTGTGTTTGTGTGTTGTGTGTTGTGTGTTGTGTGTGTTGTGTGTGTAAAGTGCTTTGTGACTCTGGCCTGGGTTGTGTGTGTTGTGTGTGGTGTGTGTTGTGTGTGTAAAGTGCTTTGTGACTCTGGGCCTGGGTTGTGTGTGTTGTGTGTGGTGTGTGTTTGTGTGTTGTGTGTTGTGTGTGTTGTGTGTGTAAAGTGCTTTGTGACTCTGGTCTGGGTTGTGTGTGTGGTGTGTGTGTGTGTGTGTTTGTGTTGTGTGTGTAAAGTGCTTTGTGACTCTGGTCTGGGTTGTGTGTGTTGTGTGTGGTGTGTGTTTGTGTTGTGTGTGTAAAGTGCTTTGTGACTCTGGCCTGGGTTGTGTGTGTTGTGTGTGTTGTGTGTGTAAGTGATTTGTGACTCTGGTCTGGGTTGTGTGTGTTGTGTGTGGTGTGTGTTTGTGTTGTGTGTGTAAAGTGCTTTGTGACTCTGGTCTGGGTTGTGTGTGTTGTGTGTGTTGTGTGTAAAGTGCTTTGTGACTCTGGCCTGGGTTGTGTGTGTTGTGTGTGGTGTGTGTTTGTGTTGTGTGTGTAAAGTGCTTTGTGACTCTGGCCTGGGTTGTGTGTGTGGTGTGTGGTGTGTGTTTGTGTTGTGTGTGTAAAGTGCTTTGTGACTCTGGCCTGGGTTGTGTGTGTGGTGTGTGTTTGTGTTGTGTGTGTAAAGTGCTTTGTGACTCTGGTCTGGGTTGTGTGTGTGGTGTGTGGTGTGTGTTTGTGTTGTGTGTGTAAAGTGCTTTGTGACTCTGGTCTGGGTTGTGTGTGTGGTGTGTGGTGTGTGTTTGTGTTGTGTGTGTAAAGTGCTTTGTGACTCTGGTCTGGGTTGTGTGTGTGGTGTGTGGTGTGTGTTTGTGTTGTGTGTGTAAAGTGCTTTGTGACTCTGGTCTGGGTTGTGTGTGTGGTGTGTGGTGTGTGTTTGTGTTGTGTGTGTAAAGTGCTTTGTGACTCTGGCCTGGGTTGTGTGTGTTGTGTGTGGTGTGTGTTTGTGTTGTGTGTGTAAAGTGCTTTGTGACTCTGGCCTGGGTTGTGTGTGTGGTGTGTGTTTGTGTTGTGTGTGTAAAGTGCTTTGTGACTCTGGCCTGGGTTGTGTGTGTTGTGTGTGGTGTGTGTTTGTGTTGTGTGTGTAAAGTGCTTTGTGACTCTGGTCTGGGTTGTGTGTGTGGTGTGTGTTTGTGTTGTGTGTGTGTAAAGTGCTTTGTGACTCTGGTCTGGGTTGTGTGTGTGGTGTGTGTGTGTGTTTGTGTTGTGTGTGTAAAGTGCTTTGTGACTCTGGTCTGGGTTGTGTGTGTGGTGTGTGTTTGTGTTGTGTGTGTAAAGTGCTTTGTGACTCTGGCCTGGGTTGTGTGTGTGGTGTGTGTTTGTGTTGTGTGTGTAAAGTGCTTTGTGACTCTGGTCTGGGTTGTGTGTGTGTGTGTGGTGTGTGTTTGTGTTGTGTGTGTAAAGTGCTTTGTGACTCTGGTCTGGGTTGTGTGTGTGGTGTGTGGTGTGTGTTTGTGTTGTGTGTGTAAAGTGCTTTGTGACTCTGGTCTGGGTTGTGTGTGTGGTGTGTGGTGTGTGTTTGTGTTGTGTGTGTAAAGTGCTTTGTGACTCTGGCCTGGGTTGTGTGTGTTGTGTGTGTTGTGTGTTGTGTGTTGTGTGTGTAAAGTGCTTTGTGACTCTGGCCTGGGTTGTGTGTGTTGTGTGTGTTGTGTGTTGTGTGTTGTGTGTTGTGTGTGTAAAGTGCTTTGTGACTCTGGCCTGGGTTGTGTGTGTGGTGTGTGTTTGTGTTGTGTGTGTAAAGTGCTTTGTGACTCTGGTCTGGGTTGTGTGTGTGGTGTGTGGTGTGTGTTTGTGTTGTGTGTGTAAAGTGCTTTGTGACTCTGGCCTGGGAAAGGCGCTATATAAATAAACATTACTTACTTACTTAAATTTAGATAAAATCTCCCTTTGAGCCTAAAACCGTCTGTGTGGCGCCCTCTGTACATTTGTGATGGTACTGCATTTGAATTTGGTGCCTGGCCTCTCCATTGGCTCTGGAGTACTGTGTGACATCACTCTGCACCTGTGGTATAAAAGCATCCAAGTCTCTCACACGCCCCTGCAGCAGGTTGGAGTATTCTGGCGACATCTAGTGGTTTGAAATTGCATTACACCCGTCGACAGCCACTACTGCTGAGATAATTCTGTGGCTTAGCTTCAGGATCAATCACAACCCAGGCCACGCCCAACTTTTTAGATATTTATGTGGGCGGAGTCAAGCTGGGGACTGGTGTTTTTGCATAATGTTGGCATCTGTACATGTTAGCCGCAGTATGTTAGCATCTGTTAGCATCTGTACATGTTAGCAGCAGTATGTTAGCATCTGTTAGCATCTGTACATGTTAGCCGCAGTATGTTAGCATCTGTTAGCATCTGTACATGTTAGCCGCAGTATGTTAGCATCTGTTAGCATCTGTACATGTTAGCAGCAGTATGTTAGCATCTGTTAGCATCTGTACATGTTAGCCGCAGTATGTTAGCATCTGTTAGCATCTGTACATGTTAGCCGCAGTATGTTAGCATCTGTACATGTTAGCAGCAGTATGTAGCATCTGTTAGCATCTGTACATGTTAGCCGCAGTATGTAGCATCTGTACATGTTAGCCGCAGTATGTTAGCATCTGTTAGCATCTGTACATGTTAGCCGCAGTATGTAGCATCTGTACATGTTAGCAGCAGTATGTAGCATCTGTACATGTTAGCCGCAGTATGTTAGCATCCGTACACTACATAATAAAAGAATCTTGATGATTTCAGATACTTGCCCTTGTCTCTCCAGAGTGAAGATACCGAGCCCTGGGTACTTTCCTTTCGAAACATCAACATAGAAAATACTGAATTAAATGTTATCAAATTACAAAAAAAAATCTACTATGACTGAGAAGTTTCTGAGGTTGCCATGTGTGACTTCTACCACTAGATGGCGGTGTTTGAATGCTTAGACCACATGTTTATCCAAGTATTTAAGTTTTTCAGTCTTTAAATCTGAAACTAATATCTCCTCTCGCTCCACAGTTCATCTACGACGAGAAGATTGTTTGGTGAGTTTTAAAAGATTTTAAATCCTAAACCGAATGTTTTTTAAATGAATTTCTTTGCAGCTTGTTTGACTTGATTGTTTTTTAGATTTGCATTTGCATTTTTAAGTCTTACTTGAGTCGCACCCATTGAACCATGAGCTAAATTAACCCTTTAAGCTCCTGAGGTTTTGACATTTTAATTTAAAAAAGCTAGAACTTAAAAGTGTTAGAGATAAAGGCTCTATGTGAATTTAGAAAAATATTAAGGATATCATTAAAGAGGATTACACAAAGATTACCAACGAAATGCAACTTTTTGACACATTTGTAGTTTTATTTTGGAGAAAGAGGTCTGAAGTTGTGACTGTGTGTGTTGTGTGTGTGTTGTTACTGTGTGTGTTGTTGCAGGTGGGAGAGTGTGGTGCTGGTCGTCATGTACGCCGGATACATCCTGGTGATGAAGTGAGTGCTTTTACAACTGTGCAAGGATTTGGTTTGTGTCCCACACAAAGATTATTTATTTACCCACAACACAGAATACACACACTCTGGTCTCCCTCTGGTCTATCTCTGGTCTCTCTCTCTCTAGTCTCTCTCTGGTCTCTCTCTCTCGGGTCTCTCTCTCTCTAGTCTCTCTCGGGTCTCCCTCTCTGGTCTCTCTCTCTCTAGTCCCTCTCTGGTCTCTCTCTCTCTAGTCTCTCTCTGGTCTCTCTCTCTCGGGTCTCTCTCTCTCTAGTCTCTCTCGGGTCTCCCTCTCTGGTCTCTCTCTCTCTAGTCCCTCTCTGGTCTCTCTCTCTCTAGTCTCTCTCTGGTCTCTCTCTCTCTAGTCTCTCTCTGGTCTCTCTCTCTCTAGTCTCTCTCTGGTCTCTCTCTCTCTGTCTCTCTCTCGTCTCTCTCTGGTCTCTCTCTCTCTAGTCTCTCTCTGGTCTCTCTCTCTCTAGTCTCTCTCTGGTCTCTCTGGTCCCTCTCTGGTCTCTCTCTAGTCTCTCTCTGGTCTCTCTCTCTCTAGTCTCTCTCTGGTCTCCCTCTCTGGTCTCTCTCTCGGGTCTCCCTCTCTGGTCTCTCTAGTCTCTCTCTGGTCTCAGCAGTAGCCCCCATGGTGCGCGTGTGTATACCATGTGTGTATACCATGAGAGGAGAAATGACCAAAGCTAATCATAAAAGTTTGGAAAAGGAGCTGATGACTGTTTTTCAATACCATGTTGTACCATGAGTGAAATGACTCCACATGGTCTACATAGTTTATCTGATCTTATAGTCAGACCATCAACGACTCTTGGCTGCTTTGATGGTTCCAGCTCTTCCTCCTAAACCCCCGCCTTTGTCTGCAGAGAGGCCCCAGTGCCACATTGCCCTAAACTAGGCCACGGACAACTTCCTTCTCCACAGACTGTAGCCGGGCTGCAGAGTGACAATGCTAACATGCTAAAGCTAAACGAAGCTCGATATAGAGAACTGCTCCTTCTCGCTCTGGCTCCTGTTGACCTACATGTAAAAGTAAACACCTCTGCCTCAGTGACAGTTTGCGTCACCATTTTAGGCTTGAATAATCTGTGGTTCAGCAGTCTCAAGGCTTTTGCATGTTCTCTCTGTGTCAGTGTAGGTTTTCTCCAGGTGCTCCGGTTTTGCCTACCAATGTAAACTTAAACCTGGTCTGTGAAAGCTGTTACATCAATAAACATTATTTACTTACTGTAGACCTGGGACTGAGGCTGTAGACCTGGGACTGAGGCTGTAGACCTGGGACTGAGGCTGTAGACCCGGGACTGAGGCTGTAGACCCGGGACTGAGGCTGTGGACCCGGGACTGAGGCTGTAGACCCGGGACTGAGGCTGTGGACCCGGGACTGAGGCTGTAGACCCAGGACTGAGGCTGTAGACCCAGGACTGAGGCTGTAGACCCAGGACTGAGGCTGTAGACCCAGGACTGAGGCTGTAGACCCAGGACTGAGGCTGTAGACCCGGGACTGAGGCTCTAGACCCGGGACTGAGGCTGTAGACCCGGGACCAAAGTGACTCCAAACGCATCTTGTATTAATATTTTTTAGACTTATAGTTGTATTTTAAAGTCTTATCTCCCGAACCTTGAGCTAAATTAAATATTAAATTATGTAAAAAAAAGCAACACAACCTTTTTGGGCCCAATTTTCAAACTAAATGTGTGTTTTTTTCCCAAATGAACACACAATAAATCCATGTTTTTGTCCAGGTTCAACTCGAGCTTGCAGCGGTGCGTCACGGGGAAGACCAACAAGAAGAACGTGGCGAACGGGAAGGCGGCGGTGACGGGCAGCGAGCTGGAGGACGGTAGTATGAACTCTGAGGGTGTGTGGGCCGATGACCCCCGCACCCCCTTGCTCCGCCCCCCAGGTAACCAGGGTAACCAGACCGGCCTCAGTCGCCCCAAACTAATCCTGCCTCTTCTGGCTTCGCTGAGTTTCTGCTAAAAACCCCAAACATTAAACGGCTCTAGTGTCGATTTCTGCGAACTGCCTCACCAAAGACCAGAGAGCGAGACCAGAGAGCGAGACCAGAGAGCGAGACCAGAGAGCGAGACCAGAGAGCGAGACCAGAGAGCGAGACCAGAGAGCGAGACCAGAGAGCGAGACCAGAGAGCGAGACCAGAGAGCGAGACCAGAGAGCGAGACCAGAGAGAGAGACCAGAGAGCGAGACCAGAGAGCGAGACCAGAGAGCGAGACCAGAGAGCGAGACCGAGAGCGAGACGGAGCAGAGGAGCGAGACCGGAGAGGAACGGAGAGCGAGACCAGAGCGAGACCAGAGAGCGAGACCAGAGAGCGAGACCAGAGAGCGAGACCGAGAGCGAGACCGAGAGCGAGACCGAGAGCGAGACCGAGAGCGAGACCGAGAGCGAGACCGGAGAGCGAGACCGGAGAGCGAGACCGGAGAGCGAGACCGGAGAGCGAGACCGGAGAGCGAGACCGGAGAGCGAGACCGGAGAGCGAGACCGAGAGAGCGAGACCGGAGAGCGAGACCAGAGAGCGAGACCAGAGAGCGAGACCAGAGAGCGAGACCAGAGAGCGAGACCAGAGAGCGAGACCAGAGAGCGAGACCAGAGAGCGAGACAGAGAGCGAGACCAGAGAGCGAGACCAGAGAGCGAGACCAGAGAGCGAGACCAGAGAGCGAGACCAGAGAGCGAGACCAGAGAGCGAGACCAGAGAGCGAGACCAGAGAGCGAGACCAGAGAGCGAGACCAGAGAGCGAGACCAGAGAGCGAGACCAGAGAGCGAGACCAGAGAGCGAGACCAGAGAGCGAGACCAGAGAGCGAGACCAGAGAGCGAGACCAGAGAGCGAGACCAGAGAGCGAGACCAGAGAGCGACCAGACCAGAGAGCGAGACCAGAGAGCGAGACCAGAGAGCGAGACCAGAGAGCGAGACAGAGCAGACAGAGAGCGAGACCAGAGAGCGAGACCAGAGAGCGAGACCAGAGAGCGAGACCAGAGAGCGAGACCAGAGAGCGAGACCAGAGAGCGAGACCAGAGAGCGAGACCAGAGAGCGAGACCAGAGAGCGAGACCAGAGAGCGAGACCAGAGAGCGAGACCAGAGAGCGAGACCAGAGAGCCAAGTACCAACGACCAACAGGCTGTAGACCGACGGACCAAAGACGGACCCTCCTAAAGCAGTCCTAGAAATAATCACCAGTTTTTGTTCTGAGAAAAGGTCTGAAGCGATGTTTTTCTGGTCCGTGGGTGAGTGTTCTTTCACTTAAACCACTTTTACAACGTTTGGTGATGCAGTTTATCTGTTTAGCACTGCTTTAACAAACTGGGCCAGAGCAGAGGTGGAAAGACCCAAGACCTGAGGCTGTAGACCCAAGACCTGAGGCTGTAGACCCAGGACTGAGGCTGTAGACCCAGGACTGAGGCTGTAGACCCAGGACCTGAGGCTGTAGACCCAGGACCTGAGGCTGTAGACCCAGGACCTGAGGCTGTAGACCCAGGACCTGAGGCTGTAGACCCAGGACCTGAGGCTGTAGACCCAGGACCTGAGGCTGTAGACCCAGGACCTGAGGCTGTAGACCCAGGACCTGAGGCTGTAGACCCAGGACCTGAGGCTGTAGACCCAGGACCTGAGGCTGTAGACCCAGGACCTGAGGCTGTAGACCCAGGACCTGAGGCTGTAGACCCAGGACCTGAGGCTGTAGACTATCTAAAACTCATAATAATCTAACATGTAAATGTCCAGCTGGTGCAGCAGCAGCAGCGTGTGGTTCATGTCAAAGCCTGAAGTCTGCAGCTGCTTCTTCTTCCACTTCTGCTGAAGCCCAAACTTTCTGATAGTTACGTACATGTGCTTTAAAATGCTCTAACACGCCTGTCTGTTTAGCCTGACTAAACCCTCTGTCCTCTCTGCACACACACACTTAAATATATACACACACGCACACATTTAGATATACACACTTATATATACACACACATTTAGATATACACACTTATATACACACACACACTTAGATTTACGCACACATTTAGTTGTACACACACAAACACACTTAGGTACACACACAAACACACTTAGATATACACACCCGCATTTAGATATACACACAAACACATTTAGACACACACATTTAGATAAACACACACACGCATTTAGATATAAACACTCACACACATTTGGACACACACACACACACCCACATTTAGAAATACACACACACACATTTAGATATAAACACTCACACACATTTAGACACACAGACACATTTAGATATACAGTACACACACAAGCACACATTTAGATATACACACACACACACACATATATACACACAGTTGTACACACACACACACAACTAACTTCCCCCCTCCTCCCCCAGTGAAGCCCACGAAGGACTACAGCCGTGGTTCTGTGGTGATGGTGGACGAGATGATCCACGACAGTCCGTCCAAGTTCCGCTTCCCCGAGGCCGGTCTGCGCGTCATGGTCACCAGCCACTTTGGACCGAAGACCCGCCTCCGCATGGCCAGCCGCCTCATCATCACTGAGGTACAGCCTGGTGGCCCGCCGCTGCCCTGTTCTTTGGGTTCTTCTGACCCGGTTCTGAAAAGGACAATGCTACAAAGAAGACCCTCCCTATTCACATCCATTCATTTTCTTCCGCTTCATCCGTTGCCGGGTTGCGGGCGCAGCAGTAAAAGCAGAGATGCCCAGACTTCACAGACACTTGCCACAGCTTGTCCGGGGGGAACCTAAGGCGTTCCCAGGCCAGCTGAGAGACATAGTCCCTCTGTGTCCCAGGTCTTCCCCAGGATCTTCTTCCGGTGGGACGTGCCCGGAACACCTCCCCGGGGAGGCGTCCAGGAGGCATGTAAACAGTAACCCCTTTGTGGTATCCAGAATCAAAGACCCCCGGCCTAAAGCTAGGGTGGCTGTTAGCTTTATTGCCCCATTCCTCCTTTTGAGGCAGTATAGTTTGGTTGAAAACATCTCAACCATAGACTGTAAATATTAACAAACGTAGTCACTCCTATCTCCGCCGTTTAAACTTTTGGACCAAGAACCACTTTTGGACCAAGAACCACTTTTGGACCAAGAACCACTTTTGGACCAAGAGCCACTTTTGGACCAAGAGCCACTTTTGGACCAAGAGCCACTTTTGGACCAAGAGCCACTTTTGGACCAAGAGCCACTTTTGGACCAAGAACCACTTTTGGACCAAGAACCACTTTTGGACCAAGAGCCACTTTTGAACCAAGAACCACTTTTGGACCAAGAGCCACTTTTGGACCAAGAGCCACTTTTGGACCAAGAGCCACTTTTGGACCAAGAACCACTTTTGGACCAAGAGCCACTTTTGGACCAAGAGCCACTTTTGGACCAAGAGCCACTTTTGGACCAAGAGCCACTTTTGGACCAAGAGCCACTTTTGGACCAAGAGCCACTTTTGAACCAAGAGCCACTTTTGGACCAAGAGCCACTTTTGGACCAAGAGCCACTTTTGGACCAAGAGCCACTTTTGGACCAAGAGCCACTTTTGGACCAAGAGCCACTTTTGGACCAAGAGCCACTTTTGGACCAAGAGCCACTTTTGGACCAAGAGCCACTTTTGGACCAAGAGCCACTTTTGGACCAAGAGCCACTTTTGGACCAAGAGCCACTTTTGGACCAAGAGCCACTTTTGGACCAAGAGCCACTTTTGGACCAAGAGCCACTTTTGGACCAAGAGCCACTTTTGGACCAAGAGCCACTTTTGGACCAAGAGCCACTTTTGGACCAAGAGCCACTTTTGGACCAAGAGCCACTTTTGGACCAAGAGCCACTTTTGGACCAAGAGCCACTTTTGGACCAAGAGCCACTTTTGGACCAAGAGCCACTTTTGGACCAAGAGCCACTTTTGGACCATCCTGTAAAGAGGTTTTTGAGAGGAAAGACGACGCCATACAAAAGCTTTGGGTAATTCTCTTTCTGGGTACACCCCCACAGGCTCATGGATGTTTTTGAGCTGGGACCCGCCCACACTGATCCCAACACAGTGGGCCTGTCTTCCAGCCACATGGGATTGGATTAAAACTAAACCATGTTCACAACATTAATTAAAATAATGAGAAAACAAAATTCCTTTGACGGTAAATCCTTCGGCTCTGAAGATGGGTCAAATGCAGAGGACACGGGGACAGTCATTTAGGTTCTCATGCACCTGAAAAAGTGTCATGAAGGACCAGTGCACAAAGAACTAGATGAAAAACAATTAAAGCCTGTGCCATTTTTATTTTATTATGTATTTCTCCAGCGCAGATTGAGTCATTTGGAGAAACTTTCAAGCTTTGAAAAATGGCCGACATCATTTAAACCCCAGCGCTCGGAGGAAGCTGTTCTTTGTAGAAAGGACGATTACTCAGACTGCAACTGTGGCAGAATGTGGTCAGGTCTCCATCCTCCACGATCGCCGCCGTTACCATGGCAACACGCCAAAATATCAAACATAGTATTTAGCCGTGGCACAGCTCTAAGTTCTGTTGTGTGTGATCCCAATCTCCATGGAAGGAACTTAAAATTCAAAATGTTTATTATCCGATAGAACAACATCAGGGTTTGGAGAGAGCGTTGTTTTTCTGTGTGGAGTTTGCATGTTCTCCCCATGTCTGCGCAAGTTTCCTCTGGGTGCTCCGGTTCCCTCTACCACTGGAAACATACACAATAGTTAGAATCATCCAGCTCCGGTCCGACAGAGGCCTGGTCCCGACAGAGGCCTGGTCCCGACAGAGGCCTGGTCCCGACAGAGGCCTGGTCCCGACAGAGGCCTGGTCCCGACAGAGGCCTGGTCCCGACAGAGGCCTGGTCCCGACAGAGGCCTGGTCCCGACAGAGGCCTGGTCCCGACAGAGGCCTGGTCCCGACAGAGGCCTGGTCCCGACAGAGGCCTGGTCCCGACAGAGGCCCGGGTTCAAACGCAATGACAAAAACACACATAGAACATTAATCCATAAGGGTTGGATGAACTGTGCTATACAAATACACCTGCCTTGCCGATAACAATATCAGCAGGTCTTTCTTCTGCGTGAACTCTTTGACTCAGTGTGTGTGTTTGTGAAAGCGCCAGAAGTTGGTCCAGACGGCGAACGGCGTGGAGACACAAGTGGTGGACGGTAAAGTGGACATGGAGAACGGCACGGTCCCCGAGGACAAGAAACCCGAGTCCGAGCCCAGCGACACCATCTCCCCCTTCCACATACCCAGTACGTCTGTGTACGGATGGACCATGCTAACACGCTAGCATAGACTGTATCAGATGGACCATGCTAACACGCTAGCATAGACTGTATCAGATGGACCATGCTAACACGCTAGCATAGACTGTATCAGATGGACCATGCTAACACGCTAGCATAGACTGTATCAGATGGACCATGCTAACACGCTAGCATAGACTGTATCAGATGGACCATGCTAACACGCTAGCATAGACTGTCTACGGATGGACAATGCTAACACGCTAGCATAGACTGTATACAGATGGACCATGCTAACACGCTAGCATAGACTGTATCAGATGGACCATGCTAACACGCTAGCATAGACTGTATCAGAGGGACCATGCTAACACGCTAGCATAGACTGTATCAGATGGACCATGCTAACACGCTAGCATAGACTGTTTACAGATGAACGATGCTAACCCACTAGCATAGATTATACAGATAGATGATGCTAACCTTCTAGCATAGACTGTATCAGATGGACGATGCTAACTTCCAAAGAAAGACTAAACAACAAGACGTGGCTGAATTTGAGTTAATGGCAGAACTCCTCACATTTAAAAAAATAAAAGATAATTTCATAATGATAATAACAGTGTTGTAATCCCGCAGATGTTGTGTCTTGATCCCTGTCTTGTCCCTGCAGGAGGCTGTGGGAGTAAGATAAAATGGCTGATCTCGTGGCCCCTGCTGCTGCTGCTGTTCTTCACGGTGCCGAACTGTGCCAAACCGCGCTGGGAGAAGTTCTTCATGCTCTCCTTCTTCCTGTCCACGGTCTGGATCGCCGTCTTCTCCTACGTCATGGTCTGGATGGTACGCACACTGGTCCTGCTCCTCACGGTTCTCATGGCACCCCCCCCCCCAAACATGACACTCTGCAGGCTTTAGTAACACCACAACTCACAGAGCAGTCATTTTGACGGCTTTTAGTTTTGGAATACTGCACATGTTAAAGTTTGCTCTGTTTCTGTTGTAGTTTGTAATGAGCGTAGTTCTGTCTTCAACGCCGGGACTCTCAGAATTCTGAAAGTACAGAAACTCCCGCAGCAGTCATTTTGACGGCTCCCATTCAGATCAATAGAATTCTAAAGAAATCCCAAAAGTTTCAGATTTTATAAAAATTTAGTAATTAGTAAGGTTTTTATCTTCAGTAAGTGTTAGAACTTATGAATAGAACTGAAATACGTAAAACAATATTGTTGGCTATAGTTTCTTGCTATGGTGTGTTCTATGGTGTGTTGCTATGGTGCGTTGCCATGGTGTGTTCTTTAGAAGGTTTCTATGGTGCGTTGCAATGGTGTGTAGCTATGGTGTGTTGTGTTGCTATGGTGTGTAGCTATGGTGTGTTGTGTTGCTATGGTGTGCTGCTATGGTGTGTAGCTATGGTGTGGTGCTATGGTGTGTTGTGTTGCTATGGTGTGCTGCTATGGTGTGTAGCTATGGTGTGGTGCTATGGTGTGTTGTGTTGCTATGGTGTGCTGTGGTGTGGTGTGTTGCTGTGGCGTGTTGCTGTGGCGTGTTGCTATGGTGTGTTGCTGTGGTGTGTTGCTGTGGTGTGTTGGTGTGGTGTGGTGCTGTGGTGTGGTGCTGTGGTGTGTTGCTGTGGCGTTGTGTTGCTATGGTGTGTTGCTGTGGTGTGTTGGTGTGTTGCTGTGGTGTGTTGCTGTGGCGTGTTGCTGTGGTGTGGTGGTGTGGTGTGGTGCTGTGGTGTGTTGCTGTGGCGTGTTGTGTTGCTATGGTGTGTTGCTGTGGTGTGTTGGTGTGTTGCTGTGGTGTGGTGCTGTGGTGTGGTGCTGTGGTGTGTTGCTGTGGCGTGTTGCTGTGGTGTGGTGGTGTGGTGTGGTGCTGTGGTGTGTTGCTGTGGCGTGTTGTGTTGCTATGGTGTGTTGCTGTGGTGTGTTGCTGTGGTGTTGCTGTGGTGTGGTGCTGTGGTGTGGTGCTGTGGTGTGGTGCTGTGGTGTGTTGCTGTGGCGTGTTGCTGTGGCGTGTTGCTGTGGTGTGGTGCTGTGGTGTGGTGCTGTGGTGTGTTGCTGTGGTGTGGTGCTGTGGTGTGTTGCTGTGGCGTGTTGTGTTGCTATGGTGTGTTGCTATGGTGTGTTGCTAGGGTGTGTTGCTGTGGCGTGTTGCTATGGTGTGTTGCTATGGTGTGTTGCTGTGGCGTGTTGTGTTGCTATGGTGTGTTGCTATGGTGTGTTGCTATGGTGTGTTGCTATGGTGTGTTGCTATGGTGTGTTGCTATGGTGTGTTGCTATGGTGTGCTGCTAGGGTGTGTTGCTGTGGCGTGTTGCTATTGTGTGTTCTAAGATTAGTTTAGTTTAGTCTTTATTTGAAGGGACAGTGTGCAGAGACATTAAGCTCAAAGACAGATATGTTCTGCACCAGATTATAGCTAAACAGCTAGTTTCCATCTGCAAGATGGTTGCTAGTGACCAAAAATAGCTACGATTGAATGTTGAAATGATTGGAGCAGTAAAAATGACTGCTCTGGGAGTTACAGGTGGAACTACTGACATGAATATTTAAAGACAGTTACATAAAAATGAATATAAACAACGTAAATAAAGACAAAGAGAAAGTCACAAAGTTATGGAGACCAACAAGGTACACACACTGATGCTTCTAAAAGTCAAAGGTGTCAAATTGACTGCTCTGAGAGTGTCAACGCTGCAAATAAATATATCCGGGAAGTTGGCTCTCGCTTAAAGGAGCAGTGTGTAAACGTCTGGTCCAAAAGTGGTACTGCAGCCTCTCCCACTGTCCCTGACTCAGGTTGCCAGATATGCAGACGAATCCAGCTGGGACCATAACAGCTGAATAGACAAGAGTTTTGTCAACAACAAATCTATAACCAACATCTTTTTCACAAAGATAGAAATCCTGGTTTTATTCCTTGTTTTGTCGTTAATGATTTGAGAATCATAACGAGACCTTTTTTAGTTCTGCGCCACATGGTACTTTACCAGTGAGATTAGCTCCACATGGTGAGTAACTACTGTTAAAGAGAAGTTTATTATTATGACAGATTAGGGCCCGTTAATGATGACAGATTAGGGCCCTTTAATGATGACAGATTAGGGCCCTTTAATGATGACAGATTAGGGCCCTTTAATGATGACAGATTAGCGCCCTTTAAAGATGACAGATTAGGGCCCTTTAATGATGACAGATTAGCGCCCTTTAAAGATGACAGATTAGGGCCCTTTAATGAAGACTAGACATGAAAATCTTACATACTGATACTTGTATATAAAGCTTGTGTGTTTGTTGCAGGTGACGATAATCGGCTTCACTCTGGGAATCCCGGACGTCATCATGGGCATCACGTTCCTGGCGGCCGGCACCAGCGTCCCGGACTGCATCGCCAGCCTCATCGTGGCTCGCCAAGGTCCGGCTCCCCTCCCCCCCCCCCCACACCCTCCGGTTATTTTAGGATCAGGTTTTAGCGGGACGCGACCGTAACCCCATCTGCGGCCGGGAGCACGGATCGATACAGGCACTTTCCAGGACGTTCTTTCCCAGTTTCCAGGGCAGCTTTGGTTTTGGAGCTAATTATAACCAGGACAATGCACCGGAGCTTTCTGTGGATCCATCTACACGCTCCAAACCGGTCCTGCTGCAGTCTCACATACACCACTATGCAACGGGGATGTAGCAGGATCAATCAGAGAGCAGGACTTTGATCTGTATTTGGTGAATCAAGTTTGTAGAAAGTTAATGGCCATTGGTTCATAGGCAGCGGGATGTCCAGAAATGTTAATAAATGTCATAAATTGTTCCGGATCCTGCATCGGCAAAAATAATTTAAAACCCCCCACCCCAAAAATAAAAAAATAGTGGGAAAATACATTAGAATCCTCGAGGACTGAGGCTGTAGGTCCAGGACTGAGGCTGTAGACCCAGGACTGAGGCTGTAGACCCAGGACTGAGACTGTAGACCTAGGACTGAGGCTGTAAGACCCAGGACTGAGGCTGTAAGACCCAGGACTGAGGCTGTTAGACCCAGGACTGAGGCTGTTAGACCCAGGACTGAGGCTGTAGTTCCAGGACTGAGGCTGTAGACCCAGGACTGAGGCTGTAGACCCAGGACTGAGGCTGTTAGACCCAGGACTGAGGCTGTAGTTCCAGGACTGAGGCTGTAGACCCAGGACTGAGGCTGTAGACCTAGGACTGAGGCTGTAGTTCCAGGACTGAGGCTGTAGACCTAGGACTGAGGCTGTAGGTCCAGGACTGAGGCTGTAGGTCCAGGACTGAGGCCGTAGGTCCAGGACTGAGGCTGTAAGACCCAGGACTGAGGCTGTAAGACCCAGGACTGAGGCTGTTAGACCCAGGACTGAGGCTGTAGTTCCAGGACTGAGGCTGTAGACCCAGGACTGAGGCTGTAGACCCAGGACTGAGGCTGTAGACCCAGGACTGAGGCTGTAGACCCAGGACTGAGGCTGTAGACCCAGGACCGAGACTGTAGTTCCAGGACCGAGGCTGTAGACCCAGGACTGAGACTGATAGACCCAGGACTGAGACTGATAGACCCAGGACTGAGACTGATAGACCCAGGACTGAGACTGTTAGACCCAGGACTGAGGCTGTTAGACCCAGGACTGAGGCTGTAGACCCAGGACTGAGGCTGTAGACCCAGGACTGAGGCTGTAGACCCAGGACTGAGGCTGTAGACCCAGGACTGAGGCTGTAGACCCAGGACTGAGGCTGTAGACCCAGGACTGAGGCTGTAGACCCAGGACTGAGGCTGTAGACCCAGGACTGAGGCTGTAGACCCAGGACTGAGGCTGTAGGTCCCAGGACTGAGGCTGTAAGACCCAGGACTGAGGCTGTAAGACCCAGGACTGAGGCTGTAGTTCCAGGACTGAGGCTGTAGTTCCAGGACTGAGGCTGTAGTTCCAGGACTGAGGCTGTAGACCCAGGACTGAGGCTGTAGACCCAGGACTGAGGCTGTAGACCCAGGACCGAGACTGTAGTTCCAGGACCGAGGCTGTAGACCCAGGACCGAGGCTGATAGACCCAGGACTGAGACTGATAGACCCAGGACTGAGACTGATAGACCCAGGACTGAGACTTTTAGACCCAGGACTGAGGCTGTTAGACCCAGGACTGAGGCTGTTAGACCCAGGACTGAGGCTGTTAGACCCAGGACTGAGGCTGTTAGACCCAGGACTGAGGCTGTTAGACCCAGGACTGAGGCTGTTAGACCCAGGACTGAGGCTGTTAGACCCAGGACTGAGGCTGTTAGACCCAGGACTGAGGCTGTTAGACCCAGGACTGAGGCTGTTAGACCCAGGACTGAGGCTGTTAGACCCAGGACTGAGGCTGTTAGACCCAGGACTGAGGCTGTTAGACCCAGGACTGAGGCTGTTAGACCCAGGACTGAGACTGTTAGACCCAGGACTGAGACTGTTAGACCCAGGACTGAGGCTGTACTTCATTCTATTCTAACCTAATATGGAGTTGTACCCGTTTGGCCCTGGTTCTATCCAGGCCGAGCTCGTGTTAAACTTACAGTGAACCCTATGTTTCTAGAATACAACACAGGATAGAAAAGTGTACCGTATTTTCCGGACTATAAGCCTCACCTGACTATAAACCGCAGCCTTCAAAATGCCAGAAGAAAGCTGCGGCTTACAGTCCGAATAATACAGTAATGGAAACGCAACCAGGTGGATCAGGCCAATGATAAGGAAGGACCAGGAGGCATATTTGCTGATTTTAAATAAGATACCTTTGAGAGAGCTCGTTTCCAGAGTCTATGAAATCCTGCTCGACAAATACTTTCCACAATCGTTGGTCGCTCGCACAGAAACTTGACCGTTGATTGGGACCTCATTTCTCCCAGGTCTCGGTGACATGGCGGTCTCCAACACCATCGGCAGTAACGTGTTCGACATCCTGGTGGGTCTGGGCCTGCCCTGGTTTCTGCAGACCGTGTGCATCAGCTATGGCTCCGAGGTAACAGGCCCCGGTGCTTCATTAGAGGTGGCATCTGCGGCGGCGGCGGCGTGAAGGGCTAACGGCTCTTCTCTCTTCCAGGTCATGATCAACAGTCGCGGGCTGGTGTACTCCGTGGTGCTGCTGCTCGGCTCTGTGGCTCTGACGGTGAGATTGACAGAGTTACTTCATTCCCACGCTGTCAAAGAGTGCCTTGATGTTTTTCAGTGAGCCTTGGGAAATGATCCAATATCACCTGTTTGGGCTGTGAGGGGTTCTAGACAGAGTGAGACACAATAAGGAAGACTAAAATAAACAACCCAGAGCTGTAAAACAATCAAAGTGTGGGTTTATTAATGAGTAAATGTGACATATACGGTGAATAACAGAACCGATACCGACACCACCTGCAGCTCTGAAACCGTCTGCCACGAATGAGGAAATGACGGACATCAAACAGACCAGAGTAAACAAAGACATATCTATATATTACACAAATGTAGTTAGTGTTGATGTGTGTCGCTCGAGGCTCCTCTTCACACTTACCTTACGATGATACTACTCTGATACTCTAATAATCTGCTTTGACCTGGACACATTGAGCCTCATTCACCGATATCTGCTTAAATTTATTAAGTCGTTCTTAAGTAGATTTCTAAGATTCATCAACGCGCTCGTAAGCCGCTGAACTGTTCGCAGCTGTTCGCTCAGATTGATGAATGCCAACTCCTCGTAAGTAGAGCGTGTGCCCGGTGCTTCATTAGCATAGGTACATAGCATAGGTAACCGCCCACTAATGCCCATATAAGGGACTGCAGGGCCGTGTGCAGACGCCAGAGGAAACAGCAAGAGTTATGGAGCCAAAGAGTTACCCTTTTTTCTTCTTTTGCCAGACTGAGAATAAAATGTCGAACTATAGCAAAATCATGAGATTAATCCTGGGAGGAGATCCAGCGTTGAGCTGAGACCAATGCAGACCTGAGGAGAGACTGGAGTGACCAGCACACAGAAACCTGCGCGGACCTATGGGAGAGACCGCATAGACTGGAGAGACCGCATAGACTGGAGAGACCGCATAGACTGGAGAGACCGCATAGACTGGAGAGACCGCATAGACTGGAGAGACCGCATAGACTGGAGAGACCGCATAGACTGGAGAGACCGGCACGCAGAGACCAGCGCTGACTGAAGAGAGACCAGCGCTGACTGAAGAGAGACCAGCGCTGACTGGAGAGAGACCAGCGCTGACTGGAGAGAGACCAGCGCTGACTGGAGAGAGACCAGCGCTGACTGGAGAGAGACCAGCGCTGACTGGAGAGAGACCAGCGCTGACTGGAGAGAGACCGCATAGACTGGAGAGAGACCGCATAGACTGGAGAGAGACCGCATAGACTGGAGAGAGACCGCATAGACTGGAGAGAGACCGCATAGACTGGAGAGAGACCGCATAGACTGGAGAGAGACCGCATAGACTGGAGAGAGACCGCATAGACTGGAGAGAGACCGCATAGACTGGAGAGAGACCGCATAGACTGGAGAGAGACCGCATAGACTGGAGAGAGACTGCATAGACTGGAGAGACTGGCACGCAGAGACCAGCGCGGACTGAAGAGAGACCGCATAGACTGGAAAGACCAGAGTGGTCCTGTAATAGATCCATGGGACTCAGCGCAGACCCTGCAACCTCCTGCAGCAGCAGTTTATAAGCCATTGTTCTGTGGCCCGTGAAGTACCCTAGGAAGGGGTCACTAATACACGGCATGATTTCCAATGTATTTTATAAAGCGTTGGCACATTTAATTTAAATTACCATAAACAATTAAATACATAAATACATTCATCAATATGACGGACATATCACTGTAATGTTGTGTTTTATTGAACTTCACAAAAGACACCAGCGTGTGAACATGTCTGCACTGAATGTGCTTCTGAGCACTCGCAGGATTTGTTCTTATACCAAGAGAAATTCTGGATACGAGAAAAATTCATTTTTGCCACAATCTTCGTGAATGCCACAATCTTCGTGCCACAATCTTCGTGAATGGCAATATCTGTGTCTAAGAACAATGGGCCTCAAAGACGTGTGGAAACCTGTCTCCCATCCATCGGCTGCCGCCAACAGACCATATGTGCTGTATCTGAATCCATTGAATAACTATTTGATGTTGATTCAGATTGCTTTACTAAATATTTCTATAACTGTCCCTAAAGTTTAGATTTAGTTATTTTATTCCCTCGCTGTCAAAAAGTGCCTTGGGAAATGATCCAATATCATAAATGTTTGGGCAAAATTATATGAAAGAAAGAATTAAGAGTAGAAATACTTATGTGCACTTCTGATTTCTAACCAGTTTGTTTCCGTCTCAGGAGTTTTAATGAAAAAGACGGAGTCTGTTTGTCTAAAGCAGAAGCCGCCGGTCGGAGCCTGTGGACCTTTGTTATGATGGATCTGTAAAACTGAAACACAATTCTTATAAATGGTTATCTGTGACACGATTAGCCCTCACTAATTAATAGCTAACTGCTGACTATTGTACGCTAACCCAGATGGTAAAGTGTCAGTCAGTAATTAGTTAACTGTTGCATAAACCATGTAGGACTAACAAGGGATCATCACACTGATTAAAAGTAGAAAAAATATAAATATATTAGCGTCCATAATGGTCTAAACCTAGGGCGAGTCAAGTTATGAGAATTCAGCTGGAAAAACAAATGTTTAAGGTATTTTTAATCACTGACGGGTCAAATGACAGCACTAGGGTTAATAAAACCTTAAAGACCTAATTAACCATTATGCACTAATTAGCTAATACGTGAGTTTTCTGTAGCTCCTCAAGAGACTCATTGATTTGAAAGTAGTTATACATTTAGGCACATACTTGGCTAGCAGTTTATTAGTGAGGGCTAAACTCAAGTGTTTGTGATAATTAGTGTGTAGTTTCTGGTTAATTAGGTCTTAATCTGTGTTTATTTAGCACTTATTGGTCTACATCTAACCAACTACTGACACTTTCCCATGGGGGCTAGGGTTAAAGCTGCACTAACTGACTTTATTTTTGTATTCATTACTAAAGTCTATCCATGTCCATGTAGTGCATTTGGATGAACGTCCTTTTGAAGAAAAAGTAGCGCAGATTTGTTGCTATCGTGACATTATATTTTAGATCGAGTTTTGATGAAACAAGGAAGAGATGTGTTTCGGGTCTCTGATTCTGACCAATCACAGCGGACCCCTAGCCCCCACTTTTGTGAGAAATCTACAGGTCCGTTAGCATAGACGGCTGAGTTAGCACAACAAGCGGCGGAGCTAACCTGAAACTTCCTCGTCTTCGTCACCGGTTTCTGCTTACACAGTGAAACAGCCGTACAAAAGAAAGTCTCGTTGCATGTGTTATCCATATATACGCTAGCTCCGTCCCAACAGTGGGTGTGTGTGGGGGGCGATAGCTTCGTGGGTGCGGGGAGGGGAGCAGAAAGAAAGAGGCAGAGAGTCCACGGCTTCAAAATCCCAAAGTCAGCTTTAAGGCACGCTAATCCAAAGGCGAAGGACTAAACTCAGCCAAAAGGTGGCGTCCTTTAGAGGCACAACATTATGGAACACGTGTTAAATCAAGGTCATGCTCCCGAAGAGGGTCTGCTCTTCCTTGGACTTTATCTTTAAAAAGTTTTACTTGTCGACTTATTGTTTGTACCAACTGTGTGTTTTCATGTTTCTAACCTGTCTTAGGACAATGGATGCGATTTAGCTGCTGTGCTAATTCCAGAATATTGTTGACGCTGTTTGCAGACATAGATCAGTATGTACGGTCTTAAATTCAAATAAATAAGAATAGAGATCCAGGTGTGTGGTGCGTCCGCTCCGGGATAGAAAGGTGTTGGCGACGTATTCTTGATGTGATCTTGATGCGTTTGTCTTTTTCGTCTCAGGTGCTCGGGATCCACCTGAACAAATGGCGCCTGGACTTCAAGCTGGGCGTGTACGTGCTCATCCTGTACGCCATCTTCCTCTGCTTCTCCATCCTCATCGAGTTCAACGTCTTCACCTTCGTCAACCTGCCCATGTGCATGGAGCCCTGACCGACCGGAAACCCAAGACTCCTCCTCGTAATAACGGACTAAACAACGAACTGCTTTCTTCTTCCTACCGCACGTTTACTTGGTCCAAAACCCATAGTTTAGTTCAAGAATTGGACCATTTTTCTCTAATCATTCTGCGGTCATTCCAACCTGTAGTATTTTTTGTACATTTCCACGAGTCTAGCATGCCTTTAGACATTACCGGGAGACCTCGGAATCACAAACTACCCTTTTGCTATTTGATATTGTACACTTTTTTTCTTCCCCGCCTACGTTTTTTTTCCAAAGCAAGACACCAAGCCAAAACTTTGAACATTCATTTCAACCAAAAAAAACTCATCTCGCCAACTCTGAAAACTCTCCTTCTCGAAATGCCAAAACCCTCCCTTGTTTCTGGACCTGTCTTTGCATGGACTCTACTCCCAATCTTTGGTCCACGGTCCTACGACTGTAACGGAGCACTGCACAATGTGAATTTATTTGTATTTATTTTTGTTGTGGAGGAGTGGAGAGCTTCTTGCTAATACTGTCGGACATTGCCTGTTCGTTTCTGTTTTTCTTCAGTGACACAAGTTGCACATAAACGCTTTTTTCTCTTGCTTCGTGCTGTAAGGAGATTCGACCACCAGGTGGAGCCGGCACTGGACGCTCCACCGAATTGTATCTTTCAGCGGCCGTGATGGTGACTCAATCTGCCCCCTCTCGTACGCCACCTCAGCACAACTTCCGACGCATAAGCTGAACGCGACAGCAAACACAACATTCAGGTGAGCAGCAGACGATTCCGCCAAACTGCTCGGGACGTCGCCCTTCGCTCAACACCGGGGGGCGCCATCACAGTCTATTTAATCAGGGAAAACCCGGAGGTCTCCAAGCGGTGGATTCGTCAATGTAGATATTGCACTTTAACAGTCGTTTCCGAATCCTCTCTCATTCGAATCAGATAGTGCTTCCTTCTCCGTGAGTGCGTAAAGTGTTTCGTTGTGCGTGCGAGTGTGCGCGCCTGGGACATTTATCCCCCTTTTACGCCTTCTTTCCCCCGAATCTATTCCAAAAAAAAAAAAAAAAAACATTCACGAGCGCACACTTTTGTTTCCCTCCATCGTGTCTGCAGTGCATGCAGGGACTCGATACGAATAACCAGAAAAAATAAAACAAAAACGACGCAAAAACCTTTTCTTCTTCTTCTTTCGAAATAACAGCACAGCGAACGACTTTGACACGCGGAACTTTTGATCAAAAAACATCGGCAGCTACGTGCTACAATGCAACCACGCGGACATTTTTTGGGTGACGCAACAAAAAAAAATGACGTCGGTGTGTCTCTTGAGTGTTTTAACTTTCTTCCCGGTTTTGGCGCGGCCGAGCGGGAACTTGTATATGCAATTTCAATGTAAAAGGATGGAACGCCGGGAGGTCGCCATAATCCAAACCAGAGCGTGACGTTTGTCTAGTGACGTGTGAGCTCACAAGTGCGCGTTTGATTTTCACAGAAGACCCAAAAAACGGCGGACATTTTGTTTTTTTTGTGTTTTTCTTTTCTACTGCTGTAACGGGGCATTAAGCTAGCCAAAATGGCCGACGGATGCATGGCGGAATCTACAGCGGACGCGAGAATCACCTTTTTTGTGTTTTTTCTGAAGCGGAAAAGACTCGTTGATGAACCGGACCTATTTTCTTTGGACTTTGGCTTTACCTGCGAATGTTAAAAATGTTATATTTTTGTGTACGTCGAAGCAAGGTTATTTTTCTGTCAGTTTTGTTTGTTCTATGTCACTTTTTGGGGGGAAAATGTAGACGAATTCGCCATATTTGTTGAAATGGGACTTTATGGCAATCCTGTGTATAAACTGGAGACGCACTTGAGGTGGAAGCAGGAGATTGGTTTGTTTTCCGAAATGCGACCCGATGCACTGTGAGCTCAATGTGACGTGGAAGTTGTTTGTTGAGAACAATAATAATAATAATGATAATGATGAATAAATAATTGAAAACATATATTTAATGTAAAGTTAGTTACTATAAAAAAGAGTATTATGAGGACATCTGTATAACTTATATGAATGTATTGTCTTGCTATACCGGACATATCCAACCAATGCATTTTACTGTCAAGCAATAATGTGAAGAAAAAATTAAAATGGCGAAATAATTAATGTGCTTTTTGTCTGTTTGTGAACGTTGTCTTTGAGTGGACCATATGACCTAAACTCGGACCTGTGATGTCACATGTTTACTCCATAGCAGACCTGAGCAAACTCGGGCTCGTGGGCCACATCCGGCCTGTAAGACAATATTTAGTGGCCGCTAAAATGGTTTTCAATTAGTATTAATAACATGCAGGTTTAATGGTTATGGGCTTCCATGGCATGTTATACATAATCTATTTTTTCAGGAAAACAACCAGATTGAATGTAACTATTTAACGTCTATTGATGCGTTGGGTGAACATTTTACAAAAGAAAAAAGACCAACTATAAAGTTAAAAAACACACTTTGTTTTCAGAATAATGTTAAAGTATCTTCATGATCTAAAAAACAAGTACATCCCTCGACCAAAATGAGTTTGACACCTCTGGTGTATTCCACCATGGTGCTGGTTCCAGGCTGGTCCTTGCCTGCTTCTTGCCTGGTTCAAGGCTGGTTCTTGACTGGTTTTTGACTTGTTCCATACTGGTCCTTGGCTAGTTCCAGGCTGGTCCGTGGCTGGTCCTTGGTTGGTTCCAGGTTGGTTCTTGGCTGGTCCTTGCCTGCTTCTTGCCTGGTTCTAGGCTGGTTCCAGACTGATCCTTGGCTGGTTCCAGGCTGGTTCTTGACTGGTTCCAGGCTGGTTCCAGACTGATCCTTGGCTGGTTCCAGGCGGGGTCCAGACTGGTCCGTGGCTGGTTCCAGGTTGGTTCTTGACTGGTTCCAGGCTGGTTCTTCACTGTTTCTCGACTGGTCCTCGGCTGGTTCTTGACTGGTTCTCGACTGGTCCTTGACTGGTTCTCGACTGGTCCTTGGCTGGTTCCAGAATGGTCCTTGGCTGGTTCTTTGGACATCCTTTGTATGATTAAAAACCTGCAGCGGCGGCCATCTTGTAAATTGGTTCTAATGGATCAGTGTCAGTTTCACAATTGTATTTAGTTGTGTAGTTCATTAACACACACTGAACACCGACAAACAGGAGAACATGCAAACTCCACAGAAAGGCCTGGTCTGAGCAGAGACAGACTTCCCTCTCCACAGACGCCTCCTCCATCTCATCTGGGGGAATCCTGAGGCGTTCCCAGCTCAGAGAGACAGTCCCTCAGAGTCCTGGGTCTTCCCCTGGTCGAGCCTCAACGGGCTTCTCAGACATGGAGAGGCAGCGGCTCTACTCCGAGCTCCTCCTGTGGGACTGAGCTCCTCTCCCCACTCTGCAGAGGAAGCTCATGTGGACCGTTTGTATCTGAGATCTTGTCATTACCCAAAGCTCACAACCAGAGGAGACTGAGCAGTAAATCAAGAGCTCTGACTGCAGACGCTGCTCCCTCTTGCTGTCGTGCCAAACCATAAACATACAGTATGTTAGATCAGTGTTGACTGGAACATTTAGACAGAAGGTGTTTGTGAAGCTGAGAGAAAGATGTGGTCGTTGGGGCTGTAACACGTCAGGGCTGTAACACGTCAGGGGTCTCCAACCTGAGGCCCGGGAGCTACCAGGAGCTCTCCACCGCCTTCAGGTAGCTCCCCAAAGGATGCACTAATAACACACAATCCTGAATGATTCACTTTTGTGTCGAGACATTGATTTTATCTATAAACCTAATGGTATATTACACATGTGTCTCAGTTACGGACTAACGACGGCTGAAGGAGTAGCTCTCTGTCATTTCTGTTATATAAAAGTAGCTCTCTAACGGAGGGTTGGACACTGCTGCTTTACATTATGGTTATCATTAACAGAACTCCCAGAGCCGTCTTTTTGACTACTCCTTTTTGAACCATGGTTCATCGCTGTGGCAGTGATTAAAACAATAATATAATTTAAACCATAATTTAGGGTGTTTTTCTTCTACCTTCCATCACTGACGGACATTTTGACCTGAGAACGGCACAATAGTTAAACCAACGAGAGTTTAACCCTTTAATGTTCACTCCTTGAACCACACAAACTTGTTCTAATTTGATTATAGGCCTTTACCAAATGGTTTAGACACAGATGGTATAAGTGCCTGAAACAGTGTGAGGCCCAAAACAAGTAAATCTCAGTTCCAAATGGGTTAATTTCACACTCGATTTATCAAAAGTAATGTTTGTAAAAAAGAGAAAGAAAATAAAGAAAAGATAAAAATGTATTCACTTTTAGTAAATGCTAAAATCTGACCATTTAACTTTGAATACAGCAAAAAGTTTGTTGAAGGTCTAATGCTAAAGGCTAATGCTAACTACTGCAAGTGAACTGTGTGTTTCTATGGCAACCAGCACTTTCTCTGCTCTGGTGGAAAACCAAGGCTCAGAACCAGAAGAGCAATGAATAGAGTAATTATTAATGTAAACACAACTATATATTTTACACTAGAAAATACAGCATTTTATAGTTTGAATGAATAGTTTTTTGTTTCAAGCATAAGCATAAAACAAAATGAATTAATGAAAATAAAGTAACGCTCTTTGTTTGAAAGAGTGAGAAGTAAATACTTTACTCTCACCTCCAATTACAAAATAAAACTACTGTCCTGCTCAACAGTTTATTCTCTTTGTCAAAGACACTTTTATACCTTCTTCTTATGATGCTAAAGCTAGCGATTTTATACTTGTTTCCTTATAGTATTTTAGTAGTTATTGTTCATTTGTCTTGTGCTCAAACCGCTGATGCAACACTGACATTTCCTCGCTGTGGGACGAGGGTCTTTTTATCCTATTACACCTAAAAACTAAATTAGATGCCAATGAAAAACCAAACTGCATCTAAATGACTGCTCTGGGAGTGTGAGGGTGTTCCATGTGTTCCAGCTTCTTCTCTTTTCTTCTTTTGAATTTCTCCATTTTGTTTTGCTCTTGTCTTTAATCTCCTTCCCGCCACAGCCCAGAGCCGCGCTCCGGACCACGACAACATTTAGTCATTCACAGACACGTCCACACGCTGCAGAGTGGACTTCCTGATGAAGAAGTATGTGGCGAAGCCTGAATGTGAATGAGGGATTAATGTCCTGGAGTGGCTGCTCTCACCACAGTGAGCAGAGACAGGAGAGTCCAGCAGGGGGCAGTGTTGCTGCAGGAAAACTGCAGTGGATCCAGTGATGAAGCAGTTCTCAGGCTCAGGAGTTTCGTGCAGAGTCTGTTTCATGCAGATATTAAACTAGTGATAGAGTTTATCCCAACAGGACACACTAATATGTAGGATACTCTCTATTTTAAAACTGCTTTGAGTGTCTAATAAGCACTGTAGAAAACCAAAGACTTCACACTATTCATTCATTACTTACAACCCACAGCTGCCCTGGGGCACACGGACAGAAGCGAGGCAACCAGTCTGTGCCATCGGCCCCTCCCACCACCACTAACCACTCACACACACACCAGACTCATTCTAATGTGGGGGAAGTGTCTTGCCTAAGGACACAACCACAGTTTGGCACTTTACAGCCGCCCCACTGTGGCACCTGCTGTTCCCAGAGGTCTCCCATCACAGCACTAACCAAGCCTTGCCCTGCTGAGACAGTAATGAAGTCATTCCAATAGTGACACATGTGGGTCCTAAGCCCTGATTACTGATGCAGTCCACCTGCTGGGGTTTAGACAGAAGCAGATCAAACTGTCTCTGTATCTGCTTCATATAAACTCATGTTCTGCTGAAAGCCTCCTGCTCTGGATCATCTGCTGATCACGTTTATTGGACTTTTAATTAAGAAGAACTAAACTGTTCAGAGAATTCAGATATGGATTTGTCATGTGGCTGTGATACACACATGTGTGTTATAGACACATGTGTTATACACACATGTGTGACTGTTGTAGAGGTCACATGTCCCCCTCTTGAATGATCTGTTTATTTACATGATATTTCCATAAACCATCAAACAGATTAGCTTCACAATATAAGAATCACTTCCAACACAAATAACAGGAGTTTATCACAACAGTGGTCAGTAAAAGGAAAGACTGTTCTTAGTTCTCTGCAGAACCACTGAGAATGAGGGGCTGGTGCTCTGTGTACTGGGTGCAGCTCTGACTGCCACCCCCCGACCCAGAAATGGATTAAGGGGAAGAAAATGGATGGATGGATCAGACTCTGCCGAGGTAAGAAAGGTTTAATATGTACAAGACGGATCAGAAGCTGAATTCAGGCTAAGCTTAAGTCTGGGTCCAAGAGGATGCAAAGACACAGCAACACGGCTGGGTTAGGGTTTTATACCAGAGAACACGTGAGATCAACATTAGAGCCACATGTATGACCTGTGGCTGCACCTGGAGACCCCTACAGCCGCCATCTTCGACCTTTTAGTGCCACGGACTGGTTTAACGTCAGACAATAATAGCACAAACCGGTATCCAAACAGACACCTATGTCTGTAGATACTGATCCCTGTGGGAGAAACCCCGGGGTCAGACACACATGACACAAACACATTCTAAAAGTAACATAGGAATAAACTGCAACAGAACTTTGGGTCACAGCAGCAGAGGTGGAGCCGCCGCTTGGTTCAGGAAAAGGCTGAACGCTTTATTAGCATTTAGCGTTGTTAGCATTTAGACACAGCTTTAGTTTTTCTTTCCAAACTTGTTCTCTGCAGCTTTAACTTTCTCCCTGTTCCAAACTTGTGTATCTCGTCTGCGCTCCGAAGCCCACGCACCCCCGCTCTGCCGCGGCCTCTCGCTCTCTCCGCCCCCTCGCTCTGACTCCGGCAGACTGGTGTTTACCCGTCGTCACGGTTACGGGCTCCGCAGGAGGTCTGGCGGTCACGGTGATGGACACGGCGCCGTTTGAACCGTCACCGCTGAAGAAGAAACACACACCGAGAGGTAGAAGTGTTCTGTTCTGAGCCACGGATCCTCCAAAAATAATAATAGGTCATACCCTCACTAATTAACAACTATATAAGTGCTAATTAGCCTAGCCTTAGCTTTAGCTTTAGCCTTAGCCTTTGCCCACATGGCAAAGTGTCAGTTTGTAGTTAGTTAAATGTTGAATGAGGACTAGTGCTTATGAAATACCAATTAAAAGCAAATTAACCATAAATTATACACTTACAAGCACCTAATTAGCTGTTTATTAGTGTAGCCTAGCTTTAGCCTTAGCCCACATGGGGAAGTGTCAGTTAGTAGTTATTTAAATGTTGAATAAGGCCATGTAGAATAAGAGTGAATAAGTGATTATGAAATACCAATTAAAAGCAAATTAACCATACATTTTACTCTAACTAGCACTTGATTAGCTGCTAATTAGTGAGGGCTATAAAAGTGTTACCGATTAATAATAATAATAATAATAATAATGGGAAAGTAAAGTATATTTGTAAAGCACAGTTCATACATAAGCCTAAACTAAACCAAGAGGAAAAGTTTAAAATCACACAAATATATAATAACAGACCGACCACAGCCAGACTCCAGCCGGACTCCAGCCGGACTCCAGCCGGACCCCAGCCAGACTCCAGCCAGACTCCAGCCAGACTCCAGCCGGACTCCAGCCGGACTCCAGCCGGACTCCAGCCGGACTCCAGCCGGACTCCAGCCGGACTCCAGCCGGACCCCAGCCGGACCCCAGCCGGACTCCAGCCGGACTCCAGCCGGACTCCAGCCGGACTCCAGCCGGACCCCAGCCGGACCCCAGCCGGACCCCAGCCGGACCCCAGCCGGACTCCAGCCGGACTCCAGCCGGACTCCAGCCAGACTCCAGCCAGGCTCAGGCTCCAGCCAGACTCCAGCCAGACTCCAGCCAGACTCCAGCCAGACTCCAGCCAGACTCCAGCCAGACTCCAGCCAGACTCCAGCCAGACTCCAGCCAGACTCCAGCCAGACTCCAGCCAGACTCCAGCCAGACTCCAGCCAGACTCCAGCCAGACTCCAGCCAGACTCCAGCCAGACTCCAGCCAGACTCCAGCCAGACCACAGACCGACCACAGACCGACCACAGACCGACCACAGACCGACCACAGACCGACCACAGACCGACCACAGACCTTCACCCTCTCTGAGCTCAGTGTTTCAGAAGTGATCCTCAAGCTCTTCGACTGTCAGTGACGTATTTGTCTGAGACCCTCTGTTCCACTGGGGATCACTGGACTTTAAAAATAGCTAGAAACAAACTTTTTTTGCTGATGAAAGTAGACAACCCAGTCTTTTAGAATCTGGTTTCATATTTCACACAAGCTTAGTAAATAACATTCTGTGGCTCTTGAGAATCAGTCAAATCATCAAAAACGGCCGGCAGTAGTAGTAGTAGTAGTAGTAGTAGTGGTGTTTATTTCGAATTACATGCGCAATACAAAACAAAACAAAAAGAAGAAACATATATATGCACAATTCGAAAAGGAGTAGGTAGAAGTGAAACTTATGCTTCCTACCCCTTGTTACAAACTTTTCTCTTTACATGAGTTCAAATGATATACAGGCATATTTCTCTCAGATATACAATTTACACTCGTCTCCATGAATAGTAATTTTAAATGCTGATTTCGCACCAATGATGTTCTTAGGTCTTGTTGTCACTTGTCACTTGTTGCCATTTTTACCCAAAGCTGTTTATTTAATGTTAACATGGTTATGTATGTAGACCCTACATAGTGCAGTGCATTAAAAACAGTGGGTAGAATGAGCCAGTCGAGAGAAGGTAATAGCCCCCCCCCAGTCAAATAGTTAATATACTTTTGAACTTCGACAAACAAGGAAGTACTGATTTGTGGCAGAGATGGATATTTAAAACAACTCCACGTATGTTAGCGATCGGGGAACATGGTTAAAAACATGGTGTAAAACTTGGAAGTACGGAATCAGTTCTAAATATTTATCGTGTCAAATTAAAATGATTAAAAAAGTGCCTAATAATGAAGTGTGTACTGTTTTAAACTGCAGTTATCGCTCCCTGTTTCTCATTCTCATGTGTTTTGAAATGAAACCCTTTAGAGAAGATGTTTTTCCTTCAGAGCCGACCCTCCTCACAGCAGGCACTTATGTCTGTTGTCAAGTTAAAAGAAACAGTTATATCTGTTTGAAGTCATGATAAAAGCAGTGAGACATAGGAGGAAATATGTGTGATGGAAGAAATCATATTGGACGGATTACTCCAAATAGATGCATTTTTTCCTGATATTTTATACACTTATAAAAAGCATGAATAAATGTGTTAGAGACTGTGATAAGTTGGAAACCTCAACTTAAGTGATTGGACTTGGAAGGAGTCGCGACGCCAGATGGAGGCTTCTGTTTTAAAGGCCAGTGTTTTGCTGCTGTCGTTCCCGTGTTATAGCTCTCATCAGTGCTCGGCCGACAGATCTGGCTCGTAAGTCTCTCCGTTCCGCTCAGAAGGACGTCCAAATGAAATTATGTCTAATAAACGGTTCACTCGACAACGGCCGGGAGCAGCTGCCGCCGCAACATAACGGTGCAGTGGTTATCGGCCGAATTATGTTCATGTGAGTTTGGACTGACGGGGAAAGACTGAGATTCTTACCCTGAAGGACTGAGGTTCTGACGGCGAATGACTGAGGTTCTGATGGGGAAGGACTGAGGTTCTAACCCTGAAGGACTGAGGTTCTAATCCCCGAAGGACAGAGGTTCTGACGGGGAAGGACTGAGGTTCTAATCCCGAAGGACTGCGGTTCTAACCCCCGAAGGACTGAGGTTCTGACGGGGAAGGACTGAGGTTCTGACGGGGAAGGACTGGGGTTCTGAAGGGGAAGTACTGAGGTTCTGATGGGGAAGGACTGAGGTTCTAACCCTGAAGGACTGAGGTTCTGACGGGGAAGGACTCAGGTTCTAACCCCGAAGGACTGAGGTTCTAACCCCGAAGGACTGAGGTTCTGATGGGGAAGGACTGAGGTTCTAACCCTGAAGGACTGAGGTTCTGAAGGGGAAGGACTGAGGTTCTGAAGGGGAAGTACTGAGGTTCTGAAGGGGAAGTACTGAGGTTCTAACCCCGAAGGACTGAGGTTCTAACCCCGAAGGACTGAGGTTCTAACCCCGAAGGACTGAGGTTCTAACCCCGAAGGACTGAGGTGCACCGATCAGGATTTTTTAGGCAGATCATTCAAATCTTGACCTGTCGATACCGATCATTTCCGATCAAATATTGATAATATTAGTGATAAATGAATAGGACTAGTTATTCACTTTATAACTAATCTTTCAAAACCATCAAGGAACTTGGTAGGATAAATAAAATGCCATAGGGGAACTCAAGACGAACAGGTTGGGAACCACAAGTGTACGTTACAGAGCAATGAAATACAGCAACACTGTTTATGTTTTATTTATAAACTGATTAAGACGAGATCGTTAAGGAAATGTTCAGTAATATTATCATCTCAGCATTAGCAGAGGTTTATTACGTTTATCATCCCGAAAAGTCCTGCTGCTCTAAACTCTCACTGTCTGCACTTGTGCACGGAGCAGAGGAAAGACGCTGCTTTGGCCAAAGGAGGGAAGCGCCTTTTATTTTCCTTCCAATAAACAAGCGGCTCCTGCTCTGAGTCGAAACTACGTAGTAAGTAACAATAAATCTGCGACACTGTAGGACTGTCTGTACGACCACTACACTCATCTTAAGTCATTTCTGTGAACATAACATGCAAACTCCTGACACGGAGTGTTTCTGCCTTACGGCAGCGCCTCGCTGCTGAGTGTGTTCAGTGTGTGTGCTGTGCGACTCTGGCTCGTTATTATAATAGATCCATGCTCTGGCTGGGCTTGGAGTGTCAGTGTGAGGATATACAGTTTGGTAAAGCTGTGACAGGCAGACATCAGTCAGATATCTCTGTGATGGCAGATTGAAGCAGTGGACATGAGCTGTTTGAACCCAGCGCTTTCCACGACAGACAAGCGCTGGGGGCAGAGGGAAATAAAATCCAAAACTTTGGTGCATATTTCGTGTTGTTTCTTACGTCATTACTGTGCGGTTGTTGCCGCTGTAGAATCTCTGTAACTGACAGCTGCATGAGTTTCTTGTTGACGAGAGAAAGTAACTTATGCGCATGAATCCTCATGTCATCTGATCAGTCTTTTTGATCGGCACATTTCACCGATCACCAATCACGCAAATTAAGCCGTGATCGGCCGATTATGATCGGCTCGATCGGTGCAACTCTAATTTTATGGCGTCTCCTTTCCTCTCAAAAACGTCTTTACAGGATGGGCCAAAAGTGGTTCTTGGTCCAAAAGTGGTTCTTGGTCCAAAAGTGGTTCTTGGTCCAAAAGTGGTTCTTGGTCCAAAAGTGGTTCGTGGTCTGTTGTAGAAATCTAACTGGGATTATAAATCAATTTAACTTGAAGTAGTACTAGAATTTACCATGCTGCTATCCAGAATATATAACTAAAATATGGGTTTATAATATTTTGGGTGTTCGTTTTGACATGTTCAGACGAATTATGTTAGAAAAACGCACTTTTTCACTTCCGCATAGAAACGCTAGGGGGCGCCCGAATGCAGCGTATGACGTGGGAGAATGATCCTTCAGCAGCGAGTTAACCTAAAGCTAATTCATGATGGATCTGTTACTTTCAAGATTTACAGATCTGATAGCAGCAGACAGATGGGGAAGTGCTCATGTAACCCCTATCCCATATATACAGTGGAATGGTAGTAATAAAAGTCTGTAGGCTAGGACTGAAGATCTAGAGTTCGCTCTGGGAGGTGAGTCAGTAATCAATAAACAGTGGCTCTAGTTTGCAAGTTTGTGTATTATTACATATTTACAGTCATGACATCTCAAATTCTCAAAATACAACGCTGCGCAGATTAGAACTCTTCATTTCATTCGCTCACAAGTCCAAAGAAAAAAACCCCAAACCCAACTCAACTTCCCAAGGTCCAAACAATAGCCAGGGCTACTGTAAAAGTGTGTCCATTGAGCTTGTATTGCTCAAGAGTTCATATGAACCAGAGTGCATGGGGGTAAAGGGCCGATCTCCTTCCGCATTGGTGGGGTACTTGCAGCAGTAGTTCTTGTCTGGGCTCAGCTCGCCGTCAATAGTGATTCGATTCGACTCGATATCACAGCACAGAAAAGACCTGGCCTGTGTGATGAACAGGACCAGTAAATACACATAGTTCACATAATTCATAAATGTATAAAAAGAGCATATAAAAGTTCATAATTGGTCTTCATCAGAATGTGGTCTAATATTCAAAGTGCAAAAAATAACCTTTATTAGATTACTACCAGGGCGACAGTGGCTCAGTTGGTAGAGCATTGGCCTTTGAGCCTGAAGGTTGTGGGTTCAAACCCACCATAAGACCTACTTCACGACTCCCACTGATGACTGCTGTCGTTGTGTCCTTGGGCAAGACACTTAACTCCACTTTGCCTGAAGCCCCCACTGAAAAATCTCAGCTCCTGTGGACTCAGCACCTGCAGAAGGATCAGTGAGGGGCTGGTGCTATGTGGACTGGGTGCAGCTCTGACTGCCACCCCCCTGAACCAGAAATGGATTAAGGGGAAGAGGATGGATGGAGGGATGGAGGGAGGGAGGGAGGGAGGGAGGGATGGATGGATAGATAGATAGATTACTACCAGCCACAATAATCCAATGAGAACTGAGAGCTCCGGTTAGGAGCTAACAGCTCCTATTAAAATGCATGGTTAGCTGCTAACTTGGCGACGCATGCTAACAACTCCAATACACAACCATTGTTAGCGCTTAGCATAATAAGCAACCGCTAATGCTAACAGCGGCCAGCAGCATGTAAACAACACTCACCAGTTCGAGGTGAACAATCCAGCCTGTCACTCACTCGGAACGGCTCGATCGCGTAGACTACTAAGAAAAGGTTGGCAGCAATCAACACAATGATTACACAGGGCGGCACGGTGGCTGAGTGGATAGCACTCTCGCCTCTCAGCAAGAAGGTCCTGTGTTCGAATCCCGGTCGGACCAGGGCCTTTCTGAGTGGACTTTGCATGTTATCCCCGTGTCTGCGTAGGTTTCCTCCGGGTACTCCGGTTTCCCCTACCACTAAAAATATGTCCAATAGTTCTGGCATGCGCCTCCTATACTGGTGACCGTGCTCCCATCTCTGTGTGGAG